TGCTCAGGGACACTTTGACATGGGACATGTAGGTTCGAACCGCCAACCTTGCAGTTCCCGTAAGTTGAGTTGACCTACGACCTAAACTCACTTAAAATACTTAATATGTTAATACGTTTTCATTAGGGAAATTGTGTTTCCGTGTTTTTACATTAGAAAAGTCTTCTAAAAGAGTTTCCCTGACAGTGAGGTCCATGGTTGATTTGTTGTACAAAAAAATCAATTCATTTACTGGTGTCAATTGCGTAATAGCAGTGAGCAAAAAAACTATTGCTATTAATATTTTTGTTTTTTATTTCCAAGTTGGAATTAGAAGTTTCTTTCCCGTGAAACATGCAACGTGTCATTGTTACACACTGTTTTGTATGGATCAGTCAGTGCTTCCCGTCATCCAACACTGACGCACTGAGGTTAAGCGCGTGTGCGCCGCTCGCCGGGCTCACAGCTGACTCCATTGTAGCGCGCTCAGAGCACCTGACAGAGGGTTGCAGGCGGGAAGGCAAATTGATGGAAGTTAAACAAACAAAGCACTTTCAATCGTTTACATTTGGTCACGAGAGACGTTAGACATAGAAGTCAAACGGAGGTTTATTTCGAGAAGACTCTCTGTAACAAACCTAATTGGACACGTCATCCTTAACCAAGCGGCTATTATGGAGCTTTGGAGGAGCTGAGAAGTGATTCCTGTTTGACTGACCCAGATCTAGCCCCCCCTGTTTCCAATCTTTGTGCTAAGCTAAACTAAGCAGCTACTTAGGGCTGAACCTTCGTATCCAGTTTAAAGACCAGAGAGTGTAGCATCTCTGGCAGGACAGCACATGACTCCTCCCAAAAGTGTGGTGCTATTCCTTCAACCTAAATACTTTAAAAAAACTTTAAAATACTTTGTGCGTCTCTTCATGCAGATGCAGCCAACGTCGGCATTGACAGCAAACAATCCCGTGCAGCCTCTGAGGAGAGGATGAGTGCTCGGTGGGGGGGTTCAGGGTGAGGGTAAGGTCCAGCTCAGTCTGCGGAACGGTACATGGTCGCTGGTTCCTGATTCTCACGTACACAACAAGTAGACTTTAACCCTTTTTTTTTATTTCGGTCACTTTCCAAATGTTCCAGTCAGTGCACTGACCAGGCCGGGCCCTGGGTGAGGAGCGAGAGGTCGAGAGAGGTCAGAGACACGCACACAAAGCAGCCGAGCACTCCTTGACCCAACATCGGTAACTCACAGTGTGTCCCTGGAGCTGAAGCATTAAAATGACGGCGAGAACAAGCAAACTGGCTGGATCCAGATTTAGAGGATGATCATATCCAGACTAATGAGAGAAGCGCGTTTATTTACTTTAGTGTGGATACGGTTTAGATATAAATGACTTTCTTCCCCCTCATTTAAATATTTTAGTCAAGTCAATTGTACATGGCCATAATAACTAAATTTGTCTAAAGGGGCGATCCGTACAACATACGACACCCTCCGTTCTTAGACTTTTACTTTGAGAATACGTACATTTTTTAAACAGACTCTGGTTCTCCCCCCTGCAGCTTGTTCAGTGGCCGTGCAGCTCAGAATATAACGGCATACGTTCCCCTCGCATCAGTTGTGGATGTGTCCTGAACAAAGTGTAACTATTTTACATGATTTCTAGTGTCTGTTCAAAATGAGTTCTTTTTTTTTATAGGTTTACTTATGAAAAGGACTTGATCCTACTTAAAATAGCTAAATAATTTAGTATTACATCTGGGTACCGTAGTTTTTAGTACCCACTTTCTTAAACAGGAGTAGGTGTTGCATTTATTGGGGGCTATTTTCCTTTTTGTGGATTATTACTCATTTTGAATGATAACCATAAATACATCAATAAATTAATCCTTGAGTTTGGGCGTTTTCCGTGGGATTGTTTGCGCTGTACGCTCAGGTGGACGGACACGTCCACTGACAGAATACAGTTGGACTGTCCCGGCCCCCCCGGATGTGGTCCCTGTCCCTTCGGTTACTCAACCCATGTGTCACCAATCTGTGTGCAAGTGTTAATGGGCAGCGCGTGTTCCACATCACGCTCCAGCGCTCGGTACGATTTCTCAACAGTCGTGATGGATAAACTGTTTTCTTCCGCATGTTATTATTTGTCGTTAATGGTTGACAGATTTTGAATGAAGAACTGTGAATGTGCCAGAAAAAAAATGTACGGCAAGGTGTCTTCACCCAGATGTGACGAGAGGTTGCATTTGAGATGCAAGATGTTCTCTGATCTTAAGTAATGGGACCGTCTTTCCGATCATCTTTCTTTAACCTATATCTAACATTTTACTTTAACACGTTTTTTGTCAGACAGCAAAAAGCCCAATTTATTCTGTTATTAATAATATCAGTCAGTTTGTTTGGGCCCTGAAAACCCTTGAGTCAATAACTTGTCACCCGGAGATGACAGGGCAGCAGACACTGTAATTGATGTGTTTCCACTGGGTTATTTACTTTACCCACGAGCGCCTGTGGCACTCAACACACTTTAGCGAGGGGCGGCTGAGGTGCACAACACAGGGAAACATTATTCCCAAAAAGTTGAGAAAAGATTGTAATCCTTGTAATGAACAACAAAGCTGCAGTAGAGGAAAAGGAAAGGTTTCTTGAGTACTTCTAAAAGGCCGCACTATAAAATCAATAACATTCCTACAGAGATTTGTCTCTCCGGGACACTGGATTGTTTAATGACCCTATTGGAATTTATGTTTTTATCTCCTCTTGCATTGTAACTGCAATGATTCATATGATACGAGGTACATTTAGATCGTCATACAGACTCCCTGCAAGGCTCAATTGCCTCAAACAGCACATGTTGTGTTTAAGGACGAGTTGCTGCATTATATTGGCTCTGGTGCTAATATGTTGAGGGAAATCCTGTATTACTAATGATCAACCCCATTGATACTACACTGAAAGATTACACATCTAACCAATAATCTTGTAAAACATCATTCATGTTTAAACACGAGGTCGGTAGCTTCTGTATTTGTGCTCTTTTTATTTACAGCAAAGTCGCAGAAAGATTATTTAACGTGGTTTGGTTTAGTTTTCTGAGAAACTACAGACACAGTTTGACAACACAATGTTCTGTAATCACAAGAACGAGTACACCTTTCACTCGGGATTCTGAAGTTGTATTATTGTTGTCAAAACCACTCATCTGTTGTTTGCAGATTGTTACCTGCATGTTCACTGTGGGCCAAAAACGTACCCGCTGCACAGAAAGTTGATAACTTAACTTTACTCCCATGTCAGTTTTTCAACTTTCATCCACCATTTACCTGATGGAAACACTGGGCTCAATAACAATTATATTTCAGAAAACATGAATGTTTTAAACATTTTGGGCTGAAATAAAATTCAAATAATCTGACATAACAGAATTAATATGATCTCAGCTTGTCAAGTCAACTCAAATGAGGAAAATAACGTTTATACTGTTTGTAGGATTTTCAATATTAATCAGTTTATTTAAAGAGTTACACTTGTGTCATTGTGAAAATAGCTTTTTCACCACCGAGTCTCATTTCAGATGCCATAAAGGGATTTAACAGAGAGATTCATGTATGTTCTAAAGTGCAGAGTGGAAACATCTCCATCTCCATTTTATAGAAACTCTTATGTCTGTGTTAATACAATGCTGTTTATGTAATCTGCATCACCTCAGGTCGGGCTACACACTCATGCTGGAGAGGTGCAACATGCAACACTGCATATTTTAATTTGTAGAGGTTCATTTATATATATTTTTTTATTATCGTTCATAATGTATGATATTCTGGGAAAAGTGGCAGATAACAATTATTTGTGCCATGTTGGACATTTCTTTTGCTTTAATCTGAGTCCAACTTTGAGCAGCCAATCCTTTTTTTCATTTTAAACTTTTTAACAAAACCGTTAATACAACATAACTGTATCATGCAGCCAAAGGGTATTAAAACATTCTCCAGCACTCCATAAAAGATGCAGTATAGTTTTGCAGATGTAAATGTGAAGGCAAGTTGACCGGATACATTTAAAACAATTAAGGTTGTTTAATAAAGTAAAACAAAATCCATTTGAACCGTAAAGCCAGATTGGACACCTTCAACATCGAGCTGCACCTGTTTGTTGACCTCGCTGTCTTCGTTATAGACTTTAACTAAAGGAGGACAAACGCAATGGCTTTATTTTATTTACAGAACAGTTCTACACGCAAACAAAGGTGGAAAGGCTCCTCGATGACTTCACTCTGTTCGTGCGTTTGTTAAAAGCTAGTTTATCCCCTGAGTGAATCGTAGATTTGACTCTTTTTCTAAATTTGCGAGATAAAAAGCGGATGCGTTTCATTTACCCGTTTAAGGAACCCAAATAGTTGTATATCGTGTCGGGACATCGTGTGCAGATAACAGACAACTGAGAAGATTTACAACTCCTAATTTAAACGGATTTCTGTCCCACGTTTTTACGATTTTTTAAGAACCATTAAAAGCAAAATAAAGTCACATATTAAGTAAAAAAAAAAAAGAAAAAGTATTTTATTATGACATTTTGAAGATGGAGTACGACTGATCTTTCTAAAGATTATTCTTTATTATTGATAACTGTTTGGCTGCTTCTTCAGAGAAAGTAGAAAAACCACTTCTGCCCACTGTATTAAAATGTAATAAGCATTTCTGACATACTTAAAGTAAAGCGTTTAACGTGCTTCATTACACGACACAAACTGAATTAATAAGAACAACGGCAGCTATTAACACCTATGCGATGATCTCATTAAGTAATAATGACAGCACTTGAATAATTAAGAGAGAAACCTGTTGCTTTTGCTCTCCGAACTACTTCAAAACGGGAATAAAAGATCCCCGCAGTGTGAGTGTGTGCGCAGCTTTGCCTTCCTTTAAAAGTCTTTGTGGCATATAGCGCAGGGTCCAAAGTCTCCCAAAGTTTGGCTGATAAGGGGAGCCAATAAAAGCAGCAGTGCAGCAGTGTAAACACATGTCCGCCTCGGCCCAGAGAGGGCCTTATTCAGTGGATTTACATACGGCTCCCATCAGCCGGCCCACTCATTACCACGTTTTATATCCCCCTACGCTGCGAGAGCATCATGACAAAGTAGCTCCATCCTCTCCTTCAACAAGGAAGTGAAGCAGCTTCTCGGAGCAGGTGTCAGCGGCCACTATCTGGACCAGAGAGGAAGAAAGGAACTTTTTGTAAACTTTTTTAATTTTTTTTATTGTATTCCCTCTGTTTCCTCATTTCCACCCCCTCATCCCATCTGCTGCAGCGCGCAAACAGCAGGCCTATGTTGAGTTTTTCATGTTTTTAAAAATGGTATCCAAGCTGACATCTCTGCAGCAGGAGCTCCTCAGCGCCCTGCTGGACTCGGGAGTTACCAAGGATGTTCTGATCCAGGCCCTGGACGACATGGACCCCAGTCCGCCTGGCTTTGGAGTAAAACTGGAGAGCCTGCCCATGTCCCCCGCGCGTCCCCAGAGCGGCAAGATGAACGGGGTGGACGTGGATTCCAAACCCGTCTTCCACACGCTCACCAACGGCCACAGCAAGGGCAAGATGTCCGGGGACGAGGGCTCCGAGGACGGGGACGACTACGACACCCCGCCGATACTGAAGGAGCTCCAGTCGCTGAACACGGAGGAGGCCGCCGAGCAGCGCGCGGAGGTGGATCGCATGTTGGCGTGAGTTGATTACGAGTCTTCGGACTTTATTTTTTTTTTTATTATTATGAAAAAAAAGGGAATCTTTTCAAATGTATTTGAATCGGAGGCATTACTCCGTTTACTGTAACTCATATTGAATGCTATATTTTTTGATGTTAGAAAATTAAGCGTACAATTAAAATAAATGTAGGATATATATAAAAGACGATTCCCGTGTTTGTTCACAATTATTTTTAAATAACCCGCCGCGGTTCTGTTTTCACAATTGAGTTACTAATTATCCACACGGGTTATTACTTTCTTTACCCGTGAAAATATCAGCTGAACGTAGATCTATTTATTATTAACTTCACACACAACACATCGCAAGAGGAGACACGAAGAGAAAGTGAATCGAAAAAAACTTCTCACCGATCATTTAGATAGATAATAGAATTAAATAGGATACATTCCTGATAATAATGATATTACATGTGTTCACGTGTAAACACGTCGTGTGAAAACTATAATTGTAATTGGACCTCACGCGTATATTCCCTCGAATTCACGCGGACCACTTGATTCACTGTAAAACTAATATTTGACGTCCTAACACGCACCGGAAGAATATCAAAACTAACCCACGTGTAGTTAAGTTACTATTAATTTTATTCTATAAATCATCAACTGAAAGATACACAGTGGCGTGTGATTAGAGTGAATGGAGATCTGGTTATTCATTGTCAAAAGTTATAAACTAACATCTCCCACTTAACCCGCAGACTTAGTTGTCGGGCCTCCACATTCTCCAAAACAAACAGATGTGTGTAGATTTGCTATAATTAGCGACGTCAGCGTGTCAGGCCTGCTAATCTCGACCCGTTTTTACGTCGCAGCGTATTTGCTGGATTGGACGTATACTGTCCCTCTGCTGCAGACATTTCAATTGGGCATTTATAGGGCAAATTCTACAGGTAACAGCGCTTTTTATTAATTGATATATTCATGCGTTCTTCACCTTGACGTTAGAAATGTAATTTCTTTGAAACGAAAATTCTATATTTTGAACTTCACCTTTCTTTGAGTTTTAATATAACAGACCACAATCATGACCTTAAATTTACTATGATTATCATTTAAGAAATATATGATCCAATTAATTAATTTATTTTATATTCAAATATACATTCAACCATATCTATTAGACTGATGCCAGGTTTAACTTCCAATACTTTTAAAACATCTATATCTTTTTCCTTTTCAAGTTTAAAGTTTTGCCAAGCTGTCTGCAGATGTGTTTCACAGTTTTGGGGAAATTTTGGGGCATTTATTGCTCATGCGTACTTTGAATGTACACAAACGTAACCCAACTGAAAGTATTTACAGCCTATTGAAAAGGTTGGAACAATTAACGGGCTGTCTTTGAGGGACTTCCCCTTCAAACTTGAGGCCCTAACAAAACAGTGACGCTAAAGCAAAGGAACAAGTTCACGTGTGTTTCATCAAAGTATTTCTGTATTTGTACATTTTCTATACTTATAAATAAACCCATTTTAATATCAACCAATGTAACCTAATCTTCCCACATGCATGAATAATTGTTTTTGGTGTTTACATTAATTTCACAGCATGAAATAGACCCCACTTTGTTTCAGCCTCGAGTAAAGGTGTTTTTGCTCTTTACGACTTCCCCAAAAGCTGCAGTTAGTTCAGTGGTGAAATAAGCGCTTTCTGCTTCTCTGTTTTATCTGAACCCAGAGAGGATCCGTGGCGTGCTGCCCGCATGATCAAAGGTTACATGCAGCAGCACAACATCCCCCAAAGGGAGGTGGTGGACGTCACAGGGCTGAACCAGTCTCACCTCTCCCAGCACCTCAACAAAGGCACGCCCATGAAAACGCAGAAGCGAGCCGCCCTTTACACCTGGTACGTCAGGAAACAGCGGGAAATTCTCCGACGTAAGTTCATATTTGAGTTTCTCACAGCTTGGGCCCGGCTTAAAATAATACGCATGGCAACAGCTCGGTACTTTATTTGTGCTTTCTCTGTAGAAATATCAATTTGGGGTTGGACATTAGATCCTTCACAAGTAAATATGTTTGGTTAATGTTAAACACCAATATTCTTGCAAATGTGTAGTTTAATTTTTAGGTAAAAAAAAAAAGGATTTTTATTGAATGTACCGCTTCTTGTTTTGCAGAGTTCAACCAGGCAGTGCAAGGCTCTATGAGCAACATGACAGACAAAGGCAATCAGGATCCGGTGTTTTTTTTCCCCGAGTTCAACCCGTCTGGTCAGGGCATGGGTCAGCCAGGCGAAGAGGTAGGCAGTGAACCGTCCTGCAAGAAAATGAGACGTAACCGCTTCAAATGGGGGCCGGCATCCCAGCAAATCCTGTACCAGGCCTATGAACGCCAGAAGAACCCCAGCAAGGAGGAGAGGGAAGCTTTGGTAGAAGAGTGCAACAGGTAGATAAAACACAACACCTTCCAACCGCCTCCTTTTGAAAAATGTCCCCCAAAAGCAACCAACCCGAACCTTTCTCCCCGTTCACTTGTTGTCCCGCAGAGCCGAATGTCTTCAGAGAGGCGTCTCCCCCTCCAAAGCTCAGGGCCTCGGCTCTAATCTGGTCACTGAAGTGCGAGTCTACAACTGGTTCGCCAACAGGCGCAAAGAGGAAGCCTTCAGGCAGAAGTTGGCCATGGACGCCATCACCGTACCGTCCCACGGCATGAACACTCTGCTGTCCCACAACTCGCCGCATCACCCCCAGACCAGCCTTTCACCTCCCAGTAAGATGACAAGCAGCGTCGCTTTGCATGCAGTCCGGCCTTACAGAGCGCAGACATGTCGTGGTGACAGGTTTTCATTGGAAAGAGCACTCAACCCATTTACGGTTGGACTCCTAGAAAAGCCTCAGAGCGGAAAGTCTCAACGTTAAAACAGCAACGCGGAATATTGTCTTCGTCTTTTTGCGAATATCCGGCGGCTACATCAGACGCGTGGTGTCAGGCGCTAAACGTTTAACGCTTGCGTTTTAGGCGCAAAGAAGCCCATGATTTAGTCCCCCTCGGTGTGAAAATACGAAGCGCCGTTGATGTGATCAGAGGGGCAGAGAAAGAGGGGAACACTGATCAATGAGTGTGAGTGAGTGAGCTGAGCAAATGCCATTGTTATTCTGATCTTTGAAAACACACTGAGAACAATCCACATTGTACCTGCAATCTCCACTCCAAAGTCAGCATGGAGAAGCATGACACAAAGGGCAGCAATCCTGTGACAGGCCAGGGTCAGGCCCGGGTCAGGGGAGGGGGACAGACATATCCAGGTTACCTCTGCATAACGCCGTCATTTCCACGTTTCCTCCTCCCGTGCAGGTTGCTAATGACTCCGCTGAGAGTCTCCACAACAAGGAAATGCCGTGCGTTACTGCTCTGACCATTCCGCCCTCACCCGCTGTTTGCGTTTGCAGTAATTAGTATTGACTGAGTCTACCTGGCGTATACAACATAAAAACAAAGCTGATAGGCCTGGCGGGAGCATTATCCCCCATGCCATCACTCAACCTCCATAAAACTGTGATTTGAGAGTCTCACTCGGAGGCTATTGTTGTCGTCTCGTGTTCGAACACGAGCGAGCTTTGAAGGGAAAGCAAACTGTTGGCCTTGGCCCACTTTTTTTTTTTTTACCTTTGGTGATAGACTGTTTGCTTGAGCTTTTTTTTTTTGGGTTCTGTTGATGCTCAGAACACCTGACCAGGCATTGACCTCAGGTTGCCAAGGCGCAGGATCAGTGATAAGGTTGCAGAAGGGTGCATGGTGGAAAACACTTTGCTCTCCCCACAAAGAATACCCTCAGCTGGCCGCTTACAAGGTGTCCTGCTGGCATCCTGCCGACAGCATCAGCTGTTTTTCAGTGTCAGCTCCTGGCCCGACAATAATATCCCAGCGGGGCGTCTCATCGCGTTGCCAGGGCACGGCCTGTATTATGCATGCTTAATGGACAATTAAAATCCTTTGCTACTACATCTCCCGGGCCTTTGATAAGGGGCTCCTCTGACTTCTTCTCTCTATACTCTGCCTCAGCGGGGGGTCCCATTGTTTGTGGTGTATTAGAAGACTGCAGTGACTGTAACCTAGGTTCATTTATCTCTGCTGGGGCTTGAGGAGGACTGATTTTAAGCTCCCCCCCCCCCCCCCCCCCTTCAGCTTTATGGGCATTGGCATAGTTGCTGAGGCTGGGTGCAGACTTGGAGCAGCAGGAGCTGTCCACTCGGGTATAGGCCCTTTTCTGGCCAGACAGGACTGATGACCCCTCCTTCGCCTACAGAGAAACCTCGCCCCCCCCCCTCCCCTCTGAACTGTCGCCACACCTTCAGTCATACAAGAGAGGTCACCGCTGGGTCGGATCAAAGAAACTCCTCTTGGGAGTTTTTATTGATTCTGCTTCAGTTCGTTGATCAGTCAGTCACAACTGGATAGAGAGTCAAACAGTGTGACGTGCAGTTTTGGTTGTGACCTTTTTCTCTTCCAGGAATGAAACTGATCTCAGGCACGTTACGACGCTTGTCAGAAGCCGTATGCTTGCATGCACCTGTGTATTTCTGTTTTCACCGCTCATCCACTAATAACATTAAACGAGTAGTTCATCTTATTTACGTCATTTTACTTTGGAGCATTGACTCCCTACTAGTTAGTTATGGTTAAAAATATACAGACAAAATCCTAATATCCAACAGTAAATTATCTAATCTAAGATCTTCTCAGGAATTTTATTAAGAACAGTAATTATAAATTCAACATAACAAAATAATAAAAGGAAAATGTGGTTTGCAGAAGTGGAAAGTCACTAAGTACATTTTGGTTGTACTTACTTGACTATATGCATTGTAAGTTTAAGCCTCTACATATTTACCTCAAAGATAAATATTGTCCATTAAACATAATGTATTTAACAGATAAGTATTTACCTAATATAACAAAACACATTGAATAATTGTACAAAATACAGATTATTGTTATGGATTAAACGTTTCTTTGCAAACCCCTTTGCTTAAATATAATCCTACTTTTGTCAGAAGTGGCCGCTTCTCTGCTTTACAGATATTTTTACTTTTGATACTTTTTTTTGTCTAAAACCGATTTATTTACTGCACAGGATTCCTCTAATGGAGTTTTTTTTCAGATTAGCACTTTTTACAGCACTGATTATTTAGCTGAAGTCACCATAAAATTGAATGATTGCTGAGCTGCATCCTTCAGCACGTTACAAAACTAGCAGACTAAGAAGTTCCTGATCAGACACAGTAGTGGGGGGGATTATCCGTGGGTTGTATTACTTTCCGTCACCTCAGGCAAGCTTGAAACAAGACGAACATGCACACACACACACACACACGCACACACACACACACACACACACACACACACACACACACACACACACACACACACACACACACACACACACACACACACACGCACACACACGCATAGAAAATAATGGCCTAGCTCTGCACTTTCCACTGGTCTGTGAGTCCCAGAGCGACAAAGAAGGGACTGGATACGTCCTGCAGAGACCCAGGAGGTCTGTCATATGCAGCGGCACTACAATGAGCACTGCCTGAGGTTGGGTTGCAGGCTTTGATATAACATGGGTCACACAGGGAGCTAGAGCCTTTAAAACCTGCTGAAGATCCTTGCTACCACTCCCCCTGTAGAGTTCTCGCCCTCCCCCCTGCTCTTGAAAGAGGTGCCTCGTTTTTTTCACGGATGTTCCCATCTTGCCAGAGTGAATATTTTATAGAATAGAAACTAGAAGAAGTTTTATAGAATCCCTGACGTAGAAATGTCTAAGGAACTTGCATTCTATCCCAGATTTTCTTAGTTGAGGTTGTGGAAGTCGTCCTTACTTTCTTCGGGGCTCCGTGCAGCTGGATTACTGCCGAACCCAAAGACACAAAACTGGCCTGAATAGCATCCTTTTCTGTGTCTGACACTTCAAGAGCTCCGAGATAACTGCCTTTTTATGAGTCCTCCTCCATTGTGTTGCAATGGGGGTCATGAGTCCAATGGAGTGCTTTATTGTTCTGCGCCAGTGTTTACAAGGCACGGTGGAGTGTTGTGGGGTTGCAGAAGACAATATGAAGTCTGTGGCCTGAACAAAATGGAGGACAGGTACTAGAGGATGAAATATAGCGCTGTGGCTTTAGACATCGCGGTATTTGTATGTTAAGTGTCTGCAGTCGAAGGAATAGTTAGGGAAATAATTCTAAATATTCTTGTTTGCCATTTTGCATAGTAATTCTACAATGGCATATTTTTCCCAAAAATATTTAAAAGTATTGCTTAAATGTGCAAAAGCCTTTGCAAAATTATTATAATAACTCAAAGAAAGATGATTTGTTGCAGAAGCAAACGGTCAGATCTGCAATCACATCCTGCAGCAAAAAGAACACAATGCCCCCTTCTTTGGTCACATTTAGTGTCAGTGACTCTCCCTCCCCTTTATCTCAAAATGGCTGTAATGCGTCCCGTCGCTGAGCGACTTTGACAGGGCGTTCAGGGCGTCACACCTGGGTCAGGGACGAAGGGCTCAGGGGGAAAAGGGAGATCTGAGGGCAAACACAGTCTGTCTCTACGCTGTCACTGAGGGAGAGACGCGCTCTGTGTCTGTGTGAGGCTGAGACCACAGGATAAGAATGTGTTTGACATTGCTTGTAATTGTGTAATGTTTACTCTGTTGGTATCAGAGGGGGCCTGCATCGGCAAACAGGAATTGGATTGTCGGTCGTGGTGGGGTGAGGCATTCCTACCGGCCTCCAGAGAGAGACAACAAGAAGTCTAGACACAGGATTAAGTGGTGGCAGGGAAAGAAGAGGGAAATTCATTTTCAATGAAACACTGTGCATATGTAGAATTAAGTTAAGTCAATTAATTTACTTGAGCACTGTACGTAGAATGTTTAGGGTCTTTTTTTCTATACTACTTTATCTTCCGCATTACACGTCAAGGAAATGTTGTACTTTTTACCAAGAGTTTTGAGTATTTAAAAAAAATTAAAATCAATTTAGGATAAGCTTTTAAAATACACAACCTGAGATCATTTTATTTACCTTAATTACAACTATGTGATTCAATTTTTTTTTTTAATGCAAATAATACAAATAATACCTTCTTTTATCTTGTGACATTTTCAAGGGGCTAAGGGTTGGAAATCACTGAACTAACTAACTAACAAACTGTATATTAAATAGTTATTAACAAGCTTGACCTTGAGCAGCTACAACAGTAAAATGTCTTTTCCACAATGAGCATCAGTATAATTATTATTTTCTGCAGAATGAGTACTACTTAACCCGCATTTAACACTTAAAATACCGTAATCGTTTAATTGTTTGCAGGTCTTATATCATCAAATTGATGCTTTTTGCCTCAGTTAGGAATCTGACTACTGGTGAAATGTGACCCTGATGCAATTAAGAAAACCATTAGTAGAATTTGTGTGCTGATCAGAGGTGGGAGTTGTGCTGTGAGCGAGAGAACGCGGGGAATGGCCTTGGCTGAGCTACGCAGATAGCAGCAGACGGGTCACTGTGTTTGTTTGCTCTGGCCTCCCCCATCTGCCTCAAAGAGCAGGTAGATTGGAGTGACAGCGGCGTTTCACAGCACAGAATGAGCCCTGCACTCCGGTCCCTGCCCCTTCGTAGCTGCTGCAGTTGCAGAACGGGTGAAACTAACTTCCCGTCTCTCTCCCCCAGTGCGTTACAGCCAAGGCCCCGGTGAGGTCACCTCCTCCACCACCATCAGCCACCACGGTGGAAACGCCATGGCGACCAGCCAGTCGGTGCTCCAGCAGGTGTCTCCGGGTGGATTGGACCACAGCCACAGCCTGCTGTCACCTGACTCCAAGATGGTGAGTGAACACACCTCATGGCCTCAGATTAGATAAGGCCCGGGCTGCGTTTAGCATAAACGCACAAAGCAGGTTGCTGAACCTCTTCTCCCATGGACCAACGGGCAGGAGGCAACAATTATCACATTGTGCTGCTCTGTTTGAAAGGTGGCTGGACGAGCACACAGCCTTCACCAGACCACCGTGTACAGGCATCGGCCAATAAACCTGACAAAGGCACATTCAGTTCTTATTGATTAAATGACTCGCAAAGAAGAGCCACAGGCGCTGCTTGTTCTGCCAGAGAAATGACGCCAACATTTGATTATAGCCGATGTGTTCTTTTCGTCCGCGTCCACTTCGGAGTTTCTCCCTTCTGCCCTAGTCCAATATTTGATCAGTGACAAGGAAACCTGTGCAATGGCCCATAGCGCGTGAGTCGTGACGCAACAACACGTTTGATATAGCTCGTGTGATTCACCGTCAAAATTAAAAACAGAATTCTGGACCAGAATTGAAAAGCCGCGCGATGCTAAATTCTACCGTTTGAACCACTCATCTTGCTCAAACTTCCTCGTCATCTAAATACTTCTGTCATTTGGAGCGACGTCAGGTGAAATGACCACCGGCTGTGCATTTTACAGCAGTTTCTCATCGGCCACAGAATGGAAGCACTTGTTTTTAAATGCATAGATGTTGTCTTCTGCGAATGTTCACATTATCATTCGCATGAACCAACTCGCAGGTGAACATGTCGATGTGCTCTAACAACACATGCACAGTTTTCTGGTGATGTTTTTAATATGATTCTTTTTTCTTCTTGACCGTTTGTTTCTTATCAGTATTTGCTTGTGTGCTGTGAGTGAGTGAAGCTACACAAGTACAGGGTTACACAAAAGAATCTTAACTAAGTCAACATTTATGTCTGTTGTTTGTTTAGCAGCCAACATCTGTTTCACTTTGAAAATACATTTATGTGAATTTACATAGCAGACACTCAGAACTTTAAGTGGGGTGGTTTGTTCAGAAAAATTACACCAATGAAGCAGAACTCTAATTGCATTATTTCCTTTTTCTTTACCCAGATTTCAGGTTCGGGTGGAGGTCTTCCTCCAGTCAGCACGCTGACCAACATCCACAATTCTCATCACAGCCACCAGCAGAACCTCATCATGCCTCTATCCGGGGTCATGGCCATAGCACAGAGTGAGTCCCCCGTCGACAACTACAAGTCTTTACATTGATTCCATCGCGGCCCGAACTTGACGGAAGTTTCACTGCGTCTCACTAGGTTTGAACACGTCGCAATCTCAGACGGTGCCAGTGATCAACAGCGTGGCGGGCAGCTTAGCGGCGCTGCAGCCGGTGCAGTTTTCCCAGCAGCTCCACAGCCCCCACCATCAGAGCCTGATGCAGCAGTCCCCCGGCCAAATGAGTCAGCAGCCGTTCATGGCTACTGTCACACACTCGCACAGTCAGTGGCAATCATTTCTACCCTCATCACTTATGGATGCAATAGTTCATTTCATTAACTGTAAAGGCCTGAAAGAGTAAAGTGTGGATGTTTAGAGGAAATATTTTTGGGATTTTCTGCTATCCTGATACATCCTGTTATACTAATATGACTTATTCATCAATTCGTAATAAGTAATAATGGGTAAAAAGTTAATAATAAGTTCAATTTTGGTATTATCCATGTTTTTCCAAACTGTCAACACTAAAAATAGAAATAGACAGTGAAAGCTCCACTCACTAAACACCAACACAGGTACACTCATACCACACTTTTGATTCTATTAGATCATAGTTCTCTTCTTCCTTTGGTATCTGCAGTTGCTTTAGACCACGTATCAACCTCAATGCTGGGTGTTTTTTTTAAAACAAAATAATTTACAAGTGTGTTAATCTTAGCATGTGTCTGAACTTGCTTTGCAGTGTATCCTCACAAGCAGGAGCCTCCGCAATATTCCCACCCGTCGCGTTTCTCCTCGGCCATGGTCGTCACAGACGGCAACAGCCTCAGCACCCTCAGCTCCATGTCCTCCAACAAGACGGTCAGTCACACCACCGAAGCCACAGTCAAATGCATGTTCTCCCCTCTGCCTGCCTGCTACTGTGGGTTTTATGTTGAAAAAACGTCTTCAGTGTTGGGTTTCTGCATAACAATCAGCAGTAAATCTTTTTTTTTGTTGCATTTTTTGTGGTAATTCTTACTTTTTGCAACACACAATTATCCTTTACTATCTCTCTTTTTCTGTAAAAAGTACTGTAACACTTGATTAGCTCAGGCACCACCAACTGACACAGAAACCTACCTCACGCCGCTCTGAATGAGGGAAACAACGCGATTGAAAAGCACACACATAGAAGCAGGAACTGGATCATGACAGGTAGAAGTGTAGCTCTGTGTGTGTGTGTGTGTGTGTTATGATTGTGTGTTGACCTGTTTAATTCCTGTCACATTAGGACGGTGCAGTAAACAAGATGGTACAACTCGGGGGTCTCTCCTGGGTAAATACACTTTTATCAGTTCAGTCAAGCATTGCAAATGAGTAAAATGACCAAATTAGCAAGCAGATAAACATTAGAAGCCTTGCACACTGTTTGTTTTACTGTTGAGGATGTTGCTGATGTCCCAATTCTTCCATTTGCCGCCAAACTAATAGACGAGGTGGACGTATGGAAAGTATACTCCTCAGAACTTCTATTTCCTCTTAAACAGACGCCTAATCAATCACCTGCTCCCTCAGCCTGAACGCCTCTTGATTAATGCAGCCTCCTTTCACTTTCATCTCCTCGCTGAGAGTTACCTCTGCGATCAGGAAATGAGTCCCGCTGTTAATCAAAGTTCTCAAGCCTGGCGTGCTGCTACTTTCCTCCATGCTACAGTGAGGCAGGAGATGAGATGGGGGTGGTGGGGTAATTACACCTCTTCCTCTTTCCTACTTCTCCCTGGTCTCGGTGATCGCTCTAGCCTGAAATGTTGTCCATGGTGCTTTCACACGCTCAATTTCCCACGCTGAGGCAGAGCACTCGTAGCGGGGCGCTGCTGACCGGCAGATGGGACGATGGGATGATGGCTCAGAGCGGGGCGCGGCCTATCCTCAGTAGAGGAAGGAAGTAAAACTAAATTCTCTGAGGCTTTGAAATATCGGTGTGATAAAAGCTGTGACCAAAGGTGGCAGAAGCATTCAAATCCTGTAAAATAACAAAACAACCTCGGTATGATTTTTTTTACAAAAATTCGCATATTAGTATTTCTAGTAGTAATAATATTCTCAATCAGTTTGATGATGAGCATATAATATTATAGGCGAGTTGTTTCAGACATTTAATGGAACGGAACTGAAACAAATCTGATTTATGTCAATTAAAGATTGACAGACACAGGCTGCTTTATGTAATGAGTCAGGAGGTGGGAACAACTTGTTTAACAGGTAGTATTTTTCCTTTGATTAAGTTCATTAATGTATTAAAAACATTTGAAAATCAATGTATAAATGCCTGTGGTGACTTCATCACGTGGCTTTTTTTATCATGCCAGCAGTCCACAACCCAAAACTATTCAGCCTACACTTAACTACTCTAAAGAAATGCAACAAAAAAAATGCTGGAACTGTCACATTTGTTAATTGTCTGATTTATTCTCTGCTGATCAAGTTATCGATTCATCCGTAATCGCTGCAGCTCTAATGCACTTCATGTAAAAAGCACCTCTCCTGCGTTACACATAAAACTTAAGTACCTAGAACTTGTACCTAAGTGCAGTTCTTGGGTAGATGTATTGGTGGTTACTTTCCACCTCTGGCAGCATCACTCTGGAGTATTTCACAAAGCCATTTATTTAGAGAGCAATTAGCCAGTTGGCCCTCCCAGGCATTTTCTTATCTGGACTTTATTTGGATGGGGCAGCCTTCTTCTTGTGACACAACTAGCGTGGCTCAGGCTTTTATAGCGATCGGTGTTTACCGAGAACCCTCCATTATACCTGCGTCTGTTTCAACCTCACCTCGGCTCGGAGCCCGGCGTCTAATGACTCAAGTCTTACCCCGCGGGTCACCTTTATCAGGTGAAGCTGTTTGCTGGCCGCAGGGTCACACCTGGGTCACCCGCCCCCTCCCCTGGAGAGGCAGGTGGAAAAATAAATTCCACAAACAATCTAAAAAAAGAGAGCGTTTCAATGGAAACAAGGCTTTCGAAGGTCGGGAGAAAGAGGGATGAGGAATGTATTTGGTCAGGTGTGGCACATGAAGGTGCAGCGGTGATGTGTTTACCAGTGGTGAAAGAAGTATTTGATTTGTTTACTTAAGTAAAAGTACCTAAAAATACTCCATTGCCAGTAAAAGTGCTGCATTTATAATTTTACTTAAACATTCATAAAATGATGATGCGTTCTGTGCAATCTTAATCTGAAAAGCAACAATAGTTGTTTTCTAAATGCAGTGGAGGCAAAAGCGTAATCCTTCCCATTTAAAGTTTTCACAGTCAGGAAGCCTTGATTCTCTTTGTACAAAGGCAGTCTGTGTTACCGGACAGATTGCATTTATTGTTTAATGTGACGGAGGTCTACTTTGTCTCACATTTCTCTCCTTCTCCTTTCAGTGTCCTCTTCAAGCTTGGTGAGAGCGTCCACCTGACTTCCTCGGTGCCCGGCAACGGGAGCACATTTTTCCACCCTCTCACCGTGGTAACCACGACGACTCTTAATAACTGGCAACGCCGCGCTGGATGATGAGTCAGTCAACAAAACTAGAGGGGTGGCGACGACGTTGGGCCAAGCGGTGAAAATGAGAAATGGGGTCGGACTGGGAATAAAAAAAAACAAAAAGCTCGCTGCACCTGAAAGTGAGGAGACTGGATTCCCCCTCTGTCGCACACACATGATCAACAAAGATGATTTTAAAACAATCTTTGAAAACAGTATTTTTTTTTTTTTTGCCATCATCTTTTCTCACATTACAATGGAACAAAAAAACCAAACGCAAAATATGGCTCACAAACTGCAAAGTCTGGGACAACTTCTAAGGTGGGAATACGAAGACGCCCTGAAACTAACAGAGACGGTGATTAACCTCTGTGAAGGCCGAAAGACTCACGGCGTTCCTGGATATCGCCACAAACTGTCATGCATGTGAGCAGAACTGTTTGACAATCACAATAACCCTGTTTTGATTGACATTCTTACATGGGCCTTAAAAGAGTCTTCCATAATATTCCTTCACATTCGGCTTCACTGCGCTAGCGCAGGTGATTAACACAAAGGGTTCATCACTTCAGGAGTGGGTTCAATGTGTATACTGTGATTGAAGAGACTTTGACAATCTTGAAAGGACTATGCAATACGTCAAAAAAAGGTTGTATGCAATTGTTTGTAAGATGTGAGACACACTCGGGACTGATCAATTGAAGGTTCAGTGAAGTCACGGACAATTTGCCCGTAGCGTACTGTGATGCTGTACAGGCCGTATGCTGGAGTTGCTCTGGATAAAGGTCTCCGTAAAATAACAGAACAGCAGATGGATGAACGTGTGACTAACCGTACCAAAGAATAGGAGTCAGCCAGCAACGTCTGCGGAGGGAGGACTGACTCACACACTCTGGTGCCCTTCCCCTCCGTGTTGTTTGCACACACAGGTTCAGGTGAATTTCAGGAATGGGACTTGCCCGCCTCTTCCTCCTCCTCCTCCTCCTCCCACCACTTCCTGCTTCAATGTGAAAAGATACCAGATTGTACAAATATTGTTAATAACTCCCCATCACACAGCAGGACCCCCACCCCCCGTCCAGGGCTAGAATGGGAAAATTGACAAGTATACAGAAAGGAAAACAGTGGAATTGTTGTGGTATTTGGTGGAAGGAGAGAGATGTGACAGTGGGCCGTGTTGCGACAGCAGCTCCTCTAATCATGCAGGAATCCACAGAGACTGGTTCGCCCGCGTGCGGCGAAGGGAGCGGACGAAGCGTAGCGCCGTTAGCCGCAGGCTAGCTAGCAGCGGGACGCGTGGGCGGTGCGCATGCGCGCGTCAGCGACCCGCCTGTGAATGAGCGCCCCAGAAGGTCGCGTCCCTCCAGGGTGCGTGTTTTCACGCCGCCCTTCGAAGGCAGGAAATGAGCTCCGACCGAACACACAGCCTCAGTTCAGTTTCGCTCATGTTCACTAACGACGATGGAAAAAGGGCTTGAGATGGGGACAAAATGTGGCATCAAGAATCCTTGTTAATGCTGATCATAAGTGTGTCAGATCCAGTCTGCGGTTCAATATTAGGTCATTACATGTGTTTTTAATATGTTAGTCAGTTGGTGTGTGTCTGTTTTTATGGGCACACACCTTCTGCCATCTGATCAGAGGGCACTCACACTTGTGTGACAGATATGATTCTTTTTTCTCCTGCTAATGTATTATTTTTGTATAAAAATTTAAATCAATCATAAATCATTATTTATACTTTCTGAGAAAATGTTGATATTTTAAGTAAAAGTTTTTTTTTTCAAAAAGAACATGTTTTTGCCTATTTTGTGTGGAAGTTTCCAAAAATGTTGAGCCTGTAATATCACTGTATTTTCACAATAATTTATCATATTTTAATATCTTATTAAAAACATTTGGAACAATATCTTACAATTTCAAATTCATGTAAAATCTTCATTTGCAAAAAAAACATACGCCTGTATAGTTCTAAGATACATGCAGTGGAACAAAAAGTATAACATTTTCCCCTGTAATGTTGTGGAGAAGAAGTTAAAAGTAACATAAATTGGAAGTACTTAAACGGTGTACCAAAGTACAGGGCTTGAGTTACTTCCCGCCTCCACACATGTTTATAACACACATGTTTATAACCCTTAACAAAGATGTTGTGGTGTTGCTGACAGACTGCGGGATAAGACAGACAGCCTCTTTGAAGTTCATGGATCTAAAGGGCACATCACATTTCAAGCAACAAGTTCGTTGAACCCGGCTTGTTGATAGCACAATTCCTTTCAGCCTTTATCTCGGTCTGACAAAGAACACTGTAAAACATATAATTGCTGTCATTCTAGTTCTTATAATGACAAGAAACACACCTTCATTTTTTGGCAGATACTTATAAAACCGATTTGGAATAAGAATTCCATGTAGTTACCTTGTAAATGTAAACCTATTGACTTCACTAAGGATCCTTAACTGCGTTGACCCGCGGTCTCCTTCGTGGAGCCATGCTGTTTGCAGCCTTGTAATCCACTGATGTTGCTCTATTTGGTTTTCAATGAGGCCTTTGATTTTCAGACCCAGGAGGCCTCTAAAGATCTGACCATGTCTTTTTTTTCTCTATTCTCTACAAGAAATTGGAATACTGAAAGGCGCATTAGCATCTGTAAAAGTTTAAAACACAACACAGAACTCTCTAAACATGCCATTTAATTTAGCTGTGAATTAGTACACAAGCTCAATTCATTGACACTTTTTTGGACATCAGTTAGAAATGTGCACCGGACTCTTTTACCGACAGTTTATATGATTACATGATAACTTTCTATGAAAGACAATTAAGGTTTTATTTGCTCATATCTGCCATCTGATGTTCTGACTATAGATGTATGTGATCTACTTGATGGATAACTATTTCTTATTTTTTTATGTCCATCTCAATACAGATCTATTTTGATTAGGTGTTATTTTAAATGAATTACGTGTGCTGAATGTTAACGTAATTATAGTACAAGGTTGAAGTTATAACTAGCTGCCACACATGCTATTTATTATCAAACAATCTGACAGTTCTATATTGGGGAAAACAGTTTCCTACTATTCTTCTTTGCTCATCTCTCAAAGGAGGCTACTATCGTTCAAGAATACCAGCCAACAGCATCATTGTGGCTTAACGAGAGAGAAGCATACACACGTCACGCATTGCTAATGCAAGTATGGTATCGCTACTACCATCATAGTTTTGGTCATTTGGGGAATGTTTTGGGTCTAAAATGAATGTCAAAATGTTTTACACTTAACAGGCCAAAGTAATTATTACCTTGTTATACAAAACTTTGAATCATCATGCCCAATTTAAGTCTTAAAAATTCCTTCGATGTTCCCATCGTACGAAGGGCCGCTGCCATCTTCAGGGAGCTTCAGCAAGTCTTCGTCACAATCAGTTTTACAGGATAATTGTCAACTCCTCCACAAGCGGCTGATTCAGCGCTGCATCCGTCTGATCAAAGCACCAAACCTCCGGGGAACAGAGGATCATTGACTCTCCCTTCACCTCTCATAAGCCGACTGGCATGACTCCCAGGCAGCAGAGCGTGAAACAGGGAAGGTCATGAATGATGCCGCCTCAACTTTGGCCACACAGAGTTTGTCCAGCAAAATGTTGTCGGTGCGCGCAAGATTTCTTCAAGGGAGGTGCGACTGCTGAAACGAATCCTGTCACCTGTAAGGTCTTTACATTTTAGTGTAATATTAAGTTATTGACTCTGAACTTGCCCGGCACACATTTGTACTCAGGACAAGTTCAAGTTTCTTAATCAGCATTAACACCACTAAAGTCATGGTGTAAAACTTACTGCAATCAAGTCATGAATACTGCTATCAGTGATTAGCATAAACGCCGCTAACATTAATTCTAATTCTATTATCAAGCAGGTTTAATACTTTTGTGTGGTGATATTGAAAGTAGCTCAGGGTATTCGTATACACAAAGGAAACGTAAAAAACAATCAACCTTTATCTTAGATGTTGTATAAAGTGCTTCGGGAATGAGTCCTAAACCCCCCTAATTAGATTTTTTTTTTGCTATTCGGTTCCCTCCGTTGGTATTAGTGAATAGTAATAAATGAGACATGTAACAAAACGTCCTAGCCACAGGTTAGCTTTTTTACTTCTGCTGGTTGCATTCACGATTGAAAATACATGAAAGTTGTGTTCATTTGTGAAAATTATCACAATGAACAAAATGTGGTAAAAATCATTAACATTCGTTTGCCACCGAGCTCATTTTCTGCGCTTATCATAAAATCCAATGGAAAAATCCAGTTTGGCTTTTTGTCAAGGGAACCAGTCCGGGTTGGCGCTACACAAGTATGCAATCCCTCATGATGACGGAGGCGGACCAAAAAATCTGTGCGATCGAGGGACCGAGAGGTCAACGCGAGGAGAGAGATGACACCCGGGAAACAGAGCAGAGGGGCAAAGAGACGGAAAGTGGAAGCTACAGGGTGAATGTGGCCGTGTGTTTAGCAGAGGCAGAAGAAAGGGTACTACATCAACTCCAGCTGGGGTCCAAGGGGTCAATGGATAAGACTACCCAGCAGGGGTCAAAGGTCAGGAGGCCACTCTCTGCCAGGGCTAATTGGTCACTGCGACCAGAGTTAACGCCAACCTTCCTATGGAGAAATACATACACATGTATGAAGCGGCTCTCCGACAGAGGTCTTCCATCAAAAGCCCCCATCAAGGAGGCTTCTGTTGTGCTCTGCACAGTCATGGAGATCAGTCAGGCCTTCGTGGTGACAATCAGTAGCCTTGCCCGTACGTCGCCACCAGCACCACCTACAGTGACAGCTAGGCTGGACGCTTGAAAAGATTGGTGGCCATTGATCCCAGGTTTTTTTTTTTACTAAGTCCAATTCAGCTCATCAGCATTAACGTTTTCAAAGCATTAATATGAAAGATAAATGTAAGCACTCAATCTGTAGTTATTATTATTTAATTTAGTGTCTGTTTTGTTTAAGTCGAAAAATGAACCACTTTGAATCATTTTCATCAAATTTTCAGACAGTCCTCAACCAAGTTCTTTGACTGTGGAAACATAAATGGTGATACTGAGAATCAGAAGACTCAACAAACATAAACTTCAAAACATAAAACTAAATTGGAACTAACTTTCCACCAAATCACGCAGCAAACACAGTCTTGGCCACAGGAAGAACACAAGCTCTCAACTTAGACTCTAAAGGCTTCTATGCAAGCGATGTGACACATGATTCAGGGCTCTGCTTTCGTTCTGTAGCCATATATGTCCTGAATATGATTTCAAAATAAGACAATGAATATTGTTTGAGTGTGTATTCTATCGTAAAAGAAGGGGTACTAGAAATTCAGCGACAGTTTCTCAATTAATTTCTTAACAATTAATTTCTAATTTTAAGGATTCAGTCCCTCGTATTTCATCCACAGCTTGAGACAGCCGTCAAAAGCAGATGCTAGATGCATTTACCCTTAATGAGCTTGTAAAATATTGAAATGTTGAGATACAATTGATGGATTTTACTAGACATTAAACTAGACATTAGAATCACATGAGGTGTTTCAGGTTAAATACTGCAGGTCGAATGTGCTAGATTCTATTTAATGAGTCTAAATTGAATCAATTTGCATCTAGGCTGAAAATCTACAGTTTCGAGAAATCCTGACGGATGGATGTTGTCATGCTGATGCTGTCACAGGCTTGATGCTGGACGGGTTAATGATTTATGGGGAATAGTGTGATGCCCAGAAAGGGACCCTGGTTAATGTTCACCCTTCTCACCAGACCTCCTCTCTCCGGGGGGGACGGGGGGGCTGCCCACAGCCAGTCCACATCCAACCTCCAGCTAAACCCGGCATACACAGCAGGAAGGGACACCTCCATGTGCTCTCAGTGAAGTGGGGTGGGGGGGGGGACAGGAGACTGACGAGGCCTAATCATCTTTCTAATGAGTGTTAATAGAAGCAAATACAAGCCGTTGTAAAGAGCTAACGTAAACTCACAGATGGTAATAAAAGTCACACTTCTCGTCAATGTGTACTACGATGTAGTTGGATACTTGAAGGCTGTTTTCTCATGTGCCTGCTGGAGAGTTTCTCTCTGCCTGTACGCCCCAACCACGGCCGCGTGACGTAAAACACGTCACAAGCTTTGCGTTGATTGTGATTTTGTTGCCACGGACACCAGATTTGTAATGCTGCAAATTCAAGTGCTTTTATCAATTGGCTGTAAATTACTATTTTATCTACTCATTCGATAATAGATATTAACTTAACAGACATTTATTCAAAACAAAATGTTTGAGATCATCACTTCAAAAAAAGAATTCATGCTGTTAAACGACTGATTAAATATATTTTCTTTTAGTATTCATCCATGAACATTCTGGCCTTAGGGGAATACTTTTCTGGTGGATAATTTTTAACTTTTCAAAGTTAATGATACTAATGTCTAACATGTGCTAGTGCAGAGAATAAAGAAAAAGAAACAATTGCCTAGATTCGATACTGAGACCATACTCAGTATATCAAGGACATGACCTCAGTGTCCTCACTTACAGCCGCAGCTCTGTTCTGGGAGACGTATATGTAATATATATATGTAATAAATATATGTAAATAAATTAATTCACCCTTCATAAAAGCACCCTGTCTTCACCATGTGTGCAAAGTACTGTAAAACTAAAGATTCCCATCCATTTATGTGAAACTAAAACTGCAGCTTTTCCAATAAGCTGTGTATCACTCTACAGCCTAAATGGGAACATTAGTCCCTCTGTCATGTATATGGACTCTGAATCATTGCTGTTGAATAAAGCAGAGGGAGAGGAAAGCGCGAGGGCAGACGAGGTGATGGATAGCGGCCGGGCTTGTCATTGGTGGCCTTACACTGCTCTCATTAAGCTGTAAATCTTTCACAACGACACCCGCTATAAGACAATACTAGAGGCTTTTCCTTGTTGCTCCACCTTGTCGTTGGTGTAACAAAGAAATTGCCAAGTGAATTACTTTGTGTGGATGCACAATGGCCTCAATGCTTCAAGCAGCCGGTAAAAATGTTAGACAAGACATCGAGGGGGGGGGGTGGCACAATACGCGGGCAATACAGAAAGTGATAGAAATATCAATACACGTAATAAAGTTATGATACATGTTAAAGAAATCAACTAAAAACAGTTACAATAGCAGTTACACTTGGAGATAGCAGTTGGAGATACACTTGGAAATAGCAGTTACACTTGGAGAAAAACAGGAAAAGATTTCTGCCTGTTTGAGATATGAAGAGAAATGAAACCACCAAAGAAATTATGCAGTGTTACTTTGGTTGATGAGACTAAGATATATTAAAAAATGTATGCTACAACACAAACTGTAATAAATTTACCAAAATAGTGGCTGTTCCCATTAAGTGGGTGTGCAGCAATTTCTCTTGTGGAGTAAGATGGATCTGCCAAAAAAATACTGCTACATTTAAACCCAAAGCAGACATAATTTCATGAGGAACTATTTAATGTGCTCGGGTGAACTGCAATTTTGGTTTAAATATTTTGATAACATATCAATATCAATATATAACATATTTGCTGCAACAATCCAAAACAGGATGAATGATATTTAATGACACTTAAGTTGTGTACAACTTTAAAGCTACTTCTTTATAAAGGGAGGATTTGTGGGTTTAAAGGAAGTACGGGTTACAGGAAAATTGTGAAAGGCCTTTTAAGATTTTACGTAATCCATCTGCTGTCACATGCAGGACCCAATTTTTCCATCACTGTGCTTCTTGTCCAGAATGACAAATGATGTCTTCCTAGACAGACAGTACCCATCCCGTGCCAGACTGCAAACACTGCCAACAGGTTTTATTATAGAGCCAAGGATCCTGTGTTTGTAACTTAACATGAACTAAGCTGAAAAACAAGCTTAACACTGACATCTGTTGGGAAATATCTTTAATTGCAGCAATATACTGAAAGTTGATAGAGGGAATCTTAGGCCCTTTGTCATGCCTTGCAGGAAGTCCACACGAGAACCATTCCCTAATGTTTGCATTCAAGTCAAACTGCACTACGTCTCGAAGTCACATTTATTTCCCCTTCTTTTCTGCTTTTTTCTGCCTGGCAGAGGGTTGTGTTCTAGATAAATCACCATCCCGTTGTTCTACATGAAGACAACATCATTTCCTAGGTGGGGTAAAACTTGAGGATCAGAATGCAGCGGTGGGTATTCTGTGCCTGAGAGACTATACTCAGGGCGAGTCCACCTAAATCCAGCGTCACTGCTGACGTCATCTCCTACTAGTGACTACTGTTATCAAGATGGCGCTGCGGCCAGGATCAGGGGGAGGTGGCAGGTATTTTGGCATTTTAAAATCAACTCTGTCGCTAAAATGTGAACAACTTGTAAAATATCCCCCGTTGAGCGCCTGTTAGCAACAAAGTACACACAGAAGGGCCTCAAAGACAGCGATTGAAAAGTGTTTGTGTTGTACGGGCGAGATGATGAGATGGCTGGTTGTCAGGTGTCAGCTAACGTTCGGTATCCGGGGAAAGCTAACGCTAGCTACCCGGTTTCGGCTGCCCATGCTCTGAGTGGACCAAAACAACGTCACAGTGTTCGCACATTGACACATTTCACGTGTCATGCCTTGTGTAGCTGTTCTTGTTCGTACCGTTAACGGCAGCAAGGGTTCTATCGTGAAAACACGTCCATTACTCTTTTGTAACTAACGTTATAGCATTGGGAGGAAACTAGCTAGCACCTGTACAGACGGGCCTGTGCACCGCCGGCAACGTCACAATCTGGTTTTGTACACTGTCTAACAATTTAGTACCGTGTTGTTAAACGGTTGGATATTTATTAAAGGGAAGCGGAAGAGGTGGGAAGATCCACACAAAACAAAAGGCTGCTAAAGTTGAATTAAAACACTTCCTCCGCAATCACACTCCCCTGCTTGTTGTCTTAACTAACTAATAAGAATTTACAGAATCGCAAAATAGCCACGTCAAGCACATTTTTCATCTCTATCTGGTTCATAAATAGTTGTAGGAGCTGTTGAGCAGATGCACAGGTGTCTCATTGGAGCCTCATGACTGTTTACCAGCTGAGCTGAATAACAGACAGCAGCTCGACCAGCCAGGTGAATCTGATCCCTCAGGTGAAACGCGAGCCCCCGGGACTGCAAATAAGTGCAGGTGTAACATGAAGACCTGCACGTGATCTATCATATGCTGATCACTGCGCCGATGGCTGGTAGACAGTTACTGACTTGTGCAAAGTGAGTGCAGAGCAGGAACGAGATAACTTGGTGGTTATTACACTTCAAATAGTCAATGGCAGCCGGAGGTTGTAATTTGGTGGTTTTGGCAGATTGTTGCGTAAAGCAGGGCCTTGTATATTCTTCTTGTCTATTCCATGGCATCTGGTGGCCGGTGAATAAAAAAAACAACTTATGGAAGGATCTTGTGCCACTTTCTGTGTCTCTGGATTGATTACCAGGAACCCGATCAGATATTTAAAAACCAGAGTTTGATGTTCACTGCACAATCAATGATTATGAGTTGATTGTTAGTTGATAGAACGGAATAATTCATGTAAAATCACGGTATAAATAACTATTCTTTGCTGTTTAAATAAAGGGTTCTTTTATAGTCACCCTGTTTTCATCTCACAACTAAATCTGTATTTCCTTTCGGGGAGTTCTCGTCATACCATCCAGACATTGCACTGCAAGCTTCATTTTACCTTTCTCAGTAATAATGACATTGACCGAAACTCCTCAACTCGGCCCTCTGTTTCTCCCAGCTTTCAAAACAGTTTGATGATAGCGTTGTGGATGATTACGGGCCTTTTACAAGGCGCCGGCATCCACAGATGCTATCGCTGCTTATCTCCCTCTTTGTTAATCTGCCCTGCCATGACCTGCTATTTGCTGCAGGATGGTGGCAAGCAGTGCCGTGGCACTCCCATTAATGCTTTTAAGCTGCAAATCTTACGCGGAGCAGATGGGACTCTGCAATGGCATTACTTGACTCCCTGTTTATTCTAAACCAACCATTTTTTCTCTCCACGTGAGGGCAGCAGTGATGAGCTGTGAGCACAATAACCACGTTATCACATGGTGGAGTTTACGTCTTTACATGCAGTGGCAGTTTTCCTTATGTAGTAGACATGAAGCATCAATGATTTCCCTGTATTCCTACAGGAATAATAAGCTATTATATTGCTAACTGTCTCTCTGCTGTTGGGGGGGAAGCTCATTAGTGTGTTTCATCCCAGTCATTCATCCATAAGTCAATTTGAAATATTAATTTATTGTAGAGCAGTTCTAAATAGATTTATTAACCTCCATATTATTTCTGTATGACAATTTGTTTGTAAAATGGAGCTTGATTGATCAAAGACGTTTAAGTACTTTGGCAATGATGAGTTCTCTGCCTCTCTTTTGTTGGCACAGTTGTGTTGATATTAAAGTTATCGGTATGATATTGTCACCCTATGGAGATTAGTTCTTAAATCCAACTCCGTCAGCCCAGTGAGTCAGTTTATTCTGTTTGTCTCTGCATCGCCAGTTTCCAGCCTGCAGAAGCGGGTCCTTTTAATTTATTTTACAAATAGCTGCAGGCCTGTGTGACTTGGCTCCTGTGAGTAGAGACTTGGCCGACATGTAGCAGCGTCGTGTGATGGTTTTTTTCTAAACGCCTGATTTCTCGGCACAGACCCAGAGAGTCCAAGTCGCCTGAGGAAATGAAACCACATCAATGATTCTGCCTTTTGGGTATTGTTGTTAAAATGAAAGGATAGGAGTCTGAAAATTCATCCCGTTATTTGGGAATACAATAAACTGAAGAAAAAATGCTCACTGCCGATCAATGAATGCCGACAGCAAACCAACCATATTTTGTATTTTTATGTTAGATTCAAGCACTCTAATGTAATTTCCCAATTATGAAAAGCAATCAAAGCTTGTATTTACCTTTAGGTGTGTGAAATGCATCCCTATCATTTACATTTTTTTTGTCAATAATAATTAGAATACAAGCAGGCGTTTGCCTAATGTAACCACATCCGATAAAATTACTTGAGGTGGTAGTTGCACTGTTTCATTCGTATTATTCTTTTACTTCCTGCTATATGTATAACATTATACTTACATGTATTTCGATGGCAGCCAGTAGCCCTGCTTTCAATGTACTGTTATACACAATAAATGATATTCGCAAGATAGAAATTCAGTGATGATTTATACTTTGCATTGTTCTAATCTGCAGGCGACATGATAAATGTTTAAAAATCCCTTCAAGGTGTTCTCTACAGCTCTGTTCACTTGAATCTCATTACCTGCCACTCTGTTTATTTTCTCGCTCTAGTTTTATGTATCCTGTTGGAGGGGGCATGGGGCCGCCACAAGGTGAGTCACTCTGCAGTCAATAGTACCAGTCGATTCCTTTAAGCGGACTTTTCATAAACACGTTTGACCGCTTTCCTTATCCAAAGCTGTCGAATGAATGGAAAGCCATCATTTAGCTCTACGTGCATTGTCATGTTTAGACTTTTGACTTTGCTGCCTGATGAACCATCTGCATAGCGCTGGGGGACAAGCATCTCTCAGGGGCCATTACATTAGCAATGTAATTTCAGACTAAGCTCATTGTGTGTAGCCACCTAAACAAGCCACTTAGTCAGCCCGGTTGAGCCGTGAAATAGTGAATCACCCGGAGGCTCCAGTGGGAGCTGGCTGCACGGCTCTGGCTGTCAGCTCACATGGCCTCTGCAAAAATAAACACAGGCACATTTCTATCTATTTATTTTTTTCCACGTTCTCTTCTTGTTGTGCTCCGAGCTGTCACCGTAGTCACCAGAATTGATTTGTTTGTTGCTCGACCTGTCTTTTTCCTGCCGTCTTGGAAAAGTATTTGCAAAATTGAATCATGTTCAGTCTCTAGAGGCTCCCCCTTCCCCCAAACTCCAGTATTAAGTTGTCTACGGCGTACCTCAATTGGGCAGACTCATGCTTCGAATTGTACTGTAAGACATTTAGTGGTATGTGTGTGTTTTTGCAGGCATGGTACCCATGCAGCAGCAGCAGCAGCAGCAGCAGCATCAGCAGCAGCAGCAGCAGCAGCAGCAGCAGCAGCAGCATCAGCAGCAGCATCAGCATCAGCAGCAGCAGTGCTTCCCTATGGTTCCGGTCATGCAACCGAACATGCAGGGCATGATGGGAATTAATTTTGTGGGACAGATGCCCGCAGGAGCTATGCCTATGCAGGTGAGCTTAGTCGTAATTCTGTGTTAGTCTGTTTGTTTCTTGTGTCATTAGACATTTGTCGCCTTTGTTTCCATTTAGAAATTCATATGGAAATGCTGCTGTGCTTCTTTAACTGGTTACGTTCACGTAGAAGCCTGGAGCTAATCTTACGGTCATTCTGAATTGAAACGGTTTCCCTCTGTGTGAGAATGTAATACATTGTTTCCCCTACCATTTATATTTGTCTATATATATTTCTATGTATATATATGTATATCCTTCCGTCCGCACCTGGCGCCCCCCCCCCTAAAGCTGTACATCTTGGAAAAACTGTAATACCGTGTGTCAGAGTGTGACAAGGGCTCATGCTAACGGGATGTCTGAGCTGCTGTCTCTGATATTTGTTCGTCTCACAGGGCGGGATGGCTATTGGTATGCAGAACCCAGGGATGCAGTTCATGGGCCAGCCACAGTTTATGACTATGAGACCTGCCGGACCACAATACACTGCAGACATGCAAAAACAAATGGCTGAGGAGCACCAGTAAGACGTCTTTGCAACATATGTCATGGTTTGTGTGTACGCGTGGATGCTCACAAATGTATAGCCCACTGAGTAACTAACAAACTACATTTTTAAACATATGGCGTATGACAGACTGGCATCCCTGTTTTGTTCCCCGACACATAAGGCCTAACCAGCATCATTTAAATAGTTTAACAAGGATTTGTTATCATTGGGAGGCATGGGCGATCCAGAAGTAGCTTTAAATTAATATAAAAATGATACCAGAACGTTGCGTTAGCATTGTGTCCGTTAACATTGTGTCCTTTAACATCTTAGCATGCTGATAACTGGATTTACCTCTGAACTGCCCGATTACAGCCCCAAAGGGTTGTTATGACGATTTCCCACAGAAGTTGAATAGAATAAAGTAATGACATTTTATAATTGAACAATTGAACTTTCTAAATATAATGAAGATATGGCCTCGGTGGCCCATCCAGCAGACCACCGCTCCATGTCTACATGTATGTGTGATCATGAGTCTTTTACCAATCCATGAGATATTTTGTATAATACCTCCTCCTGATCGCTTGTAGAAAACGCCTGGAACATCAGCAGAAGATGCTGGAAGAAGACAGGAAAAGAAGACAATTTGAGGAGCAGAAACAGAAGCTGAGGCTGCTCAGCAGTGTCAAGCCCAAAGTGAGTGTCTCTCCACGTCCCGTTCATTTTGCTACTCTAATGGCATGTCGACTGCTGGTCTTTGTAACCTTCCGGCCTCTCGACCCTCATTTACTGCTTACTCAGACTGCTGAGAAGAGCCGCGACGATGCCTTGGAGGCAATCAAAGGCAACCTGGATGGCTTCAGCAGAGACGCTAAGATGTACCCTAATCCATCATCCCAGACCAAGAAGCCAGGTACCTTAATCAGCAATGACTATCTGTTGTCCTTCTCCTTCAGCAGATCTGTTGAAATGCCTCCGTCTGAGAGTTATGGGTGCATTGGAGGCTGGTCAGCATGATGACTGCTCAGCTGTTGTCTGACGAGAGTGTACGACAAAAAAAAGATTCACGTTATTGTTTCAGTCCCTCACATTTGTCCAACTGTGTAATGTTATTAAATCATTTAAAAACATCAAACTAAATATTTATTTAATACTGTATGTTGATACTCTAGTTGAATTTGGAGTTATCTCACTCTGGGAACGTTCAGCCGGTAATTCATTCTCCATTGCAGTGTGTGTCCCGTGTTGTGCCATCCTCATTATTTCTTCATTTTTGCAGACTCATCGCCACCACATCCTTCAGTCCCCATTCACTCCCTTTCCCCAGCTTTGTCCGAAGACAATGATGAGTTTAGTGACTTTCAAGGCCCTGTAGATGCCCCTGCCTCCTTCCCTCCGCCCTCCTCCACTTCCTCTGCATCGGGCCTCTCCTCTCAGGTCCCCGTCCAGCCTTCGTCCACTGCCCCCGCGTCAGGTTTCTCCTCGGACGATGACGAGTTTAGTGACTTTGTTCAGGGTCCCCTAAATGCGTTCCCTCTCTCTGACTTCCGACCTTCCTCCCCTTCCCTGAATGCAGGACTTTCCTCCTCCTCCCTCCCTCAGTCCCTTCCTGCCTCTGTGTCCATTTCCACTGTCACCCAACACTCTGCTGTCAGCAACAGCTCCCAATCTACATTTCAAGGTAACTGTCTTTTTGCTTTGTTGACACCTCCCTGCCCATCCGCATATTTTTTACCCAACCATATATATTTTGAATGATTTTTTTTTTTATCACAGCTGCTGCTTTTATTGCTGATGATAAATATTTTCACTGGCACGTCTGGGTTGTGCGCTGGCCTCGGCGTGTGTTGCAGTGTGGCAGCATGCAGCCAGCACCGCAAATGGCCTGGCCTTTTTACCTAAAGCCTCCAGACACTGCAAACAAGGATCCAGCATCAATAAGAAACGGACCTTGTTTCTCATTAGGAAGTGTAGCAGAATCTATCAATGATACCGAATCGTTTTTTTTTAGGTTTGATAGAAGACGTTCACACTCATGTTTCATCTTATTTCAGATCATGCAGACTCAACTGCAGGTTAGATAAGACAATTGACATTGTTCATGATTCCTAAAACGAATATTCTCAATAGAAATACACCGTGGTGCAGCGTATACTAAGTCATCAGTTGAATCTAACTTTAACCACTTGGTTTAGACAGTGTGTTTCATCAAGAAACCTGTTCCTCATTCCCCCCTTTAGGCCCGTCCCTGGAACAGAAGCTTTTCTCCTCTTGTGATTTCACTGCCGGAGAGACGGCACCGGTTAGCTTTAAATCCAAGCCGAGTTTGGCAGCAATGGGTCCTGGAACTAAAGTTTCAACCCAGTTTCACTCCAGCACTAAAGCGAGGAATTGGGCTGCGGCCCCCGAGGACTTGAGTACGGTCTTCGTGGCTGAAAAGCCGCCTGAGTGCCCGGTGTCAGCGCCCGGCGCCCCCACACCAAGTGTTGACCCGTCTCCCCAAACCAGTAAAGACAGTGGTGAGAGACGTGCCTGTTTTCATGTCTTCACAGCTTCCTCTTCTCTCCCTCGCTCTGCTGCACACAATCAAGGCAGTACTTTTCTTTCTTTCTCATAGAAAATATTTACACCCTTTTCTAACAAACTAAAAATAGTTCTCTTCCTTTTGGGTTACAATTGTACAATTTTTTGCCAGATTCTGAGCTGGTCATCGTACTCTTCATGGACTCTGAAATCAAATTCTACTTCTAATTCACTTTGCCTGTGAGATCAACTGGAATGGCGGTGTCTTTGAGGTTTCCTCCCTGTTGCTTTTCCTAAGTCTCTGCTCTTTAATCTGCCTGCGTCACACTTCTGTCGCCTCACACCAAATCTTGTCAGAGGGTCTTGTCTTGTCGGCGCCCTCTGCACACGTCGGGGGAATGGACCGTGTCCGTTGGGGTCCTGAGGGGACTCAATAAGCTGCTGCTGTTTGTTCCGCTCGCCGCGTAGCACCTTCTCAGGGAACCAGCTCTGCCGCATGCTGACTGCTATGGTTTAACAGGGTTGCGCATGGTTTGTGCAGGTGCCACTAATGCCCAAACAAAATCCGAGGATGATTGTGCATGCCACTTGCCAACTCCTTTTATGCTTTCATTTGTCTGTCTGTGTCCGTGTCATCGAGGGAAATGCAGAGGCTAATCTTGGAGACCGGGGAGATTTGTAATGAGATTCATTTAATTGCCCACTGACGGCTGAGTATTATTTGCAAAGCAGCTGCCTGAGTAGTTTGCTGTAGTTTTTCTATATGTAGAAAATAAATGTTTACTTGGGTTAATGTCAGCAGTTAAATTTGATTCCTTGTCCTTTGTTTTTACAACATGGTCTCCTCTCTGCCCATCTTGAACCCATAAATGGCTCATGTCTGACCGGGAAAGACTCTTGTGATTCCGTGCAGCAGTGCATGACATCAGATGAATAATTCTTTTGAGCCATGGCAAGTTGTATGGCAGGGAAAGCATTGTGCAATAACAACTAATTGTGTTGTGTGCGTTATTTGTGTGGGTGTGTGCTTGTGACAGGAGGTGTTGGCGTCTACCCTCAGCAAGAGCACATTCAGCCCATGCTGCCAGCGTGGGTTTACAATGACAACCTCATCCCAGGTATACATGTCCCTGTTTTAGACATTTATAATTTATGATTTCTGTCTTTTGTGGAATCGAAAACCTACAAATTCTCCATTATGACTGAGATTTGGAATAGTTTAAGTAGATTATCTCTCCATTTCTTGCGTGATTAAATATTGTCCTTTCTGTCGGTTTTCCCTTTAGAAATGTTCAAAAAGGTGCTGGAATTCACCATGACCCCAGCGGGCATAGACACAGCCAATCTGTACCCGATACTAATGTCGTCAGGACTTCCCAGGGAAGCACTGGGGCAAATCTGGGCGGCAGCCAATCGCACAACACCCGGCATGCTGACCAAGGAGGAGCTCTACACCGTACTTGCACTGATTGGTGTGGCGCAGGTAAAAACTGGAGCCATGACAAGCTTTTCCCTCAAAGCAACTTGACTAATCATCGTCCAATTAGACGGGCCGAGCTATGACTGGGTGAAGAGAGGCCACGCTGGGAATCAGCCCGGGGCTTGTGGGGCATTTGAAGACATATATTTGGCCCCATCAGCCGTGTTCGCTTCCAAGCAAGCAGTAACAACACAACTTGGGTGGGTGTAAATCTGTAGGAGCTTTAAAACACAAGCCCGACAAGGTGTATTCTCTTGGGGAGAAAAGGTTGGAGTCTGCTTGTGACAACTGTTCAAAAGGAACTTGATTTCATTGAATAATTTATCTGCAAACATTTGTTTTTTTTGGCCTTTTCACTGAATGCATCATAACATCAAAGGAAATGAAGTCACACCAGCCACTGCATCGTAACCCCTCTAATCATTCAATTGGTTTACCTTTTTTCCATTTAATAAGTCATGTCCATGTATGAGCAGGTGGGAGCGTGGAGGTGTTGTTAGCTCCGTGGCAACATTGAAACTTATTTCCTCCATTGTCTCAGTAGGTTTTCTGTCAGAAGAATTGAACAACTGTTGTTTATTGTTTGATGGTTTTCTGGTTTTTAAAGATGTTCGACTGGCAATTGCGAGATGAGGGAGGAATGCCTAAACTTTAAGATAGTCTTACCTTAAACCAAAGATGCTCTAGCGGTGGAGAGCAAGTGCATTTATATTGACTGGTGTGTCTTAAAATATATATATATATATATATATATATATATATATATTGGGGGGGGTGTATTCATATTGAGTGAACTGCGAACAGGTGCGCGTGTCCGAAGGGAGCGCGAGATTCAGTGAATTGCGAACAGGGTGAGTGATGGTTTTAATATTTTCTGGTATATCCAAGTTAAGTTAACCAGGAGCTTTGCTGACATAGACTTAGCTAACGTTAGCTACAGCTTGAGAAATTGAGTCATTTAACACCGCAGGAGAGACGCGACGTTGGGCAGCTAGCTAAAGCTCCGGTGGAAAATGACTAGCTAACGCTACAGTTTTTGGTAGATTTTGAGGTGAGGGGACTGACGAGGCAGAAGGTAAAGTGGTCCACCGTTCTATCAATAAGCAGACCTGCCAACCTGATACGCATTCTGACTACAAAGTACGATGAACAAGTCATTAACCCGAAGACACGGTCGGGAATTTATCTTACCCCCCCCCCCCTCCACGAATGACTCGAAGAAAGATTCGTTCATTTTACTGAACGAGATTCAAAGAACCGAGTCGGTAAAATGGTCGGTATTACCCCCCCGTCAACGAATGACTCGAAAACCCCTGCCCTAGAGGCCGTTTTCATGCCTGCTATGTTGTAGTAGCTGAAAATACTAAATTGTAGCGTGGAGATTTTCATCAGAGTTGGGATGAGTGCTTTGTGAAAGCCTTATTCCCAGTTTGATTAACTAATCAAAGGAAAAGAAAGGAGAAAGAAATTGTTTTGATGAGTTATTATGACATTTCACTTTGCCAGTGATTAGTCAGGAGCTGTAATTCATTTGTCTTTACCGAATTGTGATGCAAGATATTTTTTATTAGCAGATCATTAAGGCCTCTGGGTCATTAAATGTGCTTATTTCCCGTACGCCTGATCAAATAAGTTTGCAGTGCTCAGCTTATATCACCATTGGGGCTTATTCAATTTGGTCACAGCATCCATTCCCCCCGTGTGGGGTTTCTACAATAGCTTCCCTCGCCAGTTCCTTAAAGTCTCTTTCCTTCGTTTCAGAGTGGGCTCCCAGCAATGAATGTGGAAATTCTCAGCCAGTTCCCTTCTCCACCAGTGCCCAACCTGCCAGCCCTGGCTATGGCCATGGCCTCCGTCATGCCCCAGCACCAGCAGCCCATTATGACCAAGCCCCCTGTTTCCATGTCAGCACCGCCGCAGGCTCAAGCACCCACAGGCACTAACTTCATCGCCAGTTTCCCTCCGCCACAGGTAACAAGAGCATGCCTTTGAGTTCTGCATTATCCGTTAGATGGTCATAATTCGCGGCGTACTCACTAACCCGTTGCCGGCCCAGGGGCCCAAAGCCGATGACGACGACTTCCAGGATTTCCAGGAGGCTCCAAAGCCAGGAGGCGGAGACCAGTCCTTCACTGAGTTCCAGGGGGAGTCTGCCGGAAGTTTCCCCACCACACTCGCACCGCAGCACCAGAAAGGGTAACGGCCAACCCTAAATGCAATTGTAATTCTAGCTCACTTAATTAGCAAAGGGATTTGATTCTAACGAGTTTACAATACAAGCCATATATTTCTTCAGTGTTCCCTTTTAATTCTTACATCTCTTTGCCTTCTTACTTGTCCTACCTTTCTTAAGAAAATATGTTTGTCGTGATGAGGGTGTAATATTCAGCCCGAGGTGCTATTTATAGCTGAGCTGTTCTGCATAATATTTGAGTCTTCAATCGTTTATCTTTGAAACTATACAGTGTCTTAGTATCTTGTAATAACCTCCCTAGAATAACAATGAGTTTGAGTCATCTCTTAATGAATTCATTTCGATGAATAGTAGATCAGCTCAGTCCTTTATATTGCTTTCCAAGCAGATTTTGAGAGACTGTCTTGTTAGAGAGGAATTTGAAAAGCAATTATCTGTTAACAGACAGAGATATCATTTAACAGTCTCACTATTATTAAGTAGAAAAGACTGTTTCAACAACGTAAGAAGGATTCCTACCTTATATTCTTGTCTTGTCTAAAAACCGAAAAGCTCATGTTGGTTTGGCATGTGTGCAGAAAAAGGGCTTTGAGGGGAAAAAAACATTTAAATTCAATTGGGAATTTAGAAATAATAAAGCACAATTGCATAAATTGGAACAAAGTGTTTTTTTGTTGGTCTGAATGTCATTTGGCAGCAACAAAACCTCAGAGGGACTGCGAGTTGTTTTTAAAACGTATAGCAGAGATATTTAATAAATGTGTGATTTAGTCTTTTTCAGTGTTTGCATGAGTAAACCACACATCTGGATAAAAGTGTTACACTGCACTCACCACACTTTACAGCCTACGGCGAATGTTTAATCAGCTTAATCTTCTATACAAACCTCACTATTGTGTCCCTGCAGTGCGTCTGCCATGCTGACTCCCGTGTCCGGTTCCTCATCCGCCTCCGTTACTTCTTCTGATAAGTACGCTGTGTTCAAGCAGCTGTCGGTGGAGCAGCCGGCGGAGCCTACGCCCACCGCCTCAGGTAACTCGTAGGGCAACGCATGTTACGAGTCGCGGTCCACTCTCAAGGAAAGGCTCCAGTCAGGTGAATCTAGGAAGAAAAGATTAGAGTAGATAAGGGAGTAGTGTGGGCGGCCCCCTCGAGGAAGGGCCAAAGGAAATGTTCCTTCATACGTGATCCCAACTTAATGACACAGGTGATATCTCGTCCCTCCCGCGGGTTTCCACACATTTCACCATGACGCAGGAACAGCACCACTATTTCTCAAATTCTGATATTTGATCAATTCTTATTTGCTTACTTATTGGGGCACCTTCAGTTTTCTGGAAATTGTTTTATCTTCTACAATATAATAATATTATTAATCGCATTAAGGGAACATTCCGTTTAACATTTTAATGTGTTGTGTTTTCTGGTCATAAATATCCCATTCTTCTTCTTCCTCCGATCCAGATTTTGGGGACAAATACAGTGTATTCAGACAACTTGAGCAACCTGCTGACAAGAAACCAGTCGGTAAGAAACTCTGACACATTGAAGTTTGCTTCTGATTACAAAATGCACACATTAACCAAACTATGGCCATTCCTTCTACCTCTCTGGGACTGATATGGTCCCACGTTTGATACTCCCCCAAATTATACAGGATTTCATGACTCGGGTAGTTGTTGTTAGAGTGCCACAATACCATATTTAAATGCCATTTTTTTACACTATATGTTGTTTTGCAAGCGCGGCGTGTTGATACTAGTGTGTTTCCCATCCCCGTTTCATTAGAACAGTTTCCGATGGGGACAGCTCTTGCAACTCCAGTAAGTCATGCTTTGCGGTGACCTTTCCTTGGCATTGTCAGGCTCCATCTCCTTAATGAGCCCATTAGTTATCTCTTCTCCACCCTGCAGCAGCAGTGTGAACAGATCCTCTGTCTCCATCCATGCATATATCATACAGCGGCAGATTAACAACCCCGCAAACTCCAAGAATACATTCAGACTTTTTTCTTTATAGCAGCGTTTTGTTTCAAACGATTTGACACAAAAATATTCTCTTTCAAAAGATGTTTCTGCTAGTCTTTTTTATAGCGTATATGGAGCTTTGTCATTGCAAACAACACCCATCTCAACAATTTCAGTTTCTAATTGGAATTAATGAGTCAACCAAAATGTAAAATAACCTACTGGTTACATTGTTACAGGTCTAGATACTGGCAACGGCCTAACCTTTTTGTGACTTATCTAGGGAATATATTCTTCCTTGTTAACATGACCAGGTGCAAAATGTGTTTTATAATAAACCTTTGCTCAAGTATCTAATTCAGTGCACTATCCCGTAGCGTTACCAAGAAAATTAAGTTAATTTATTGTAATTAAAGGATCAGAACAATGAAAGTTCACTGATCGTTTTCTTATTTGACTAGTAATATTGTGTAAACAAGATTATCCCCTTCAAAGTGTCCATTATCATGAACGATGATGGGCACCTCGTCGGGCATTTTACCTCCATCAATAGTATCAGGACAGAAAACGGTCTTGCATTGTGGTCTTACTTGTACTGGCAGCATGTTGACTATTCCTCCACTGGGAGGGTGTTGAGGGATTATTAGACACCAGAGACAACATAACTTGTTAAGATGCACTTACGTTTTGTAAAATGTCTTCCTCTCCAGCTCTTTGCATGGTAGTGTGGATGTCTCTATGTAGCGTAGCGTTTTGTGTGCGTTGCTGTGAGTTGTTGATTGGACATTCTGCAGCCCGCCGTTCATCAGAAGGCTCGACGTTCACAAGGCGGCCGAGCCGTAACCGATAACCACCCACTCTTCTTTCTTGTAGGATTACGCTGCAGCTGAACGTTCTCGATTATGTCTCTCTGCTGGGTTTCGGCGTTTTTAATGATCTCAAACTGTCGTCTTTAATTCACAGGGGAAGGATTTGCCGATTTCAAGTCCGCCAGTGCCGACGACGGCTTCACAGACTTTAAAACCGCAGACAGCGTCTCTCCATTAGACCCTTCAGACCCGGCCAAGATCTTTCAACCTTCCTTCCCCTCTGCTTTCCCAACCTCTCAGTCTCTACAACATCTACCCCAGCAGCAACAGCCCGCAGTGTCTCTTTCTCAGCCCAAAAATCCTCTCAACATGGCCGATCTGGACCTTTTCTCTTCGATAGCCCCCTCTGTGCCTGCCCCTACTGAGACAAAACCCAGCCCCTTCCCCACAGTGTCTGTGCCCCCCTCTCTGCTGCTCGGACCAGGTGGAGGTAAACCTCGAGGGGGAGGTGCAGATGATTTTGGGGATTTTACACTCTTCGGCTCATCCTTCGATGCTGCTCAGGCTACAGCGGTGGGAGGAGCCGTGGCGGCAGCGCCGGACGACTTTGCAGACTTCATGGCGTTCGGCGCTTCTGGTGGGGAGCCCAAAGGCGAGAGCAGCAGCGTGGGGGTCCAAGAGGAGGCCTCCACTCAGCAGCGACTTCAGCACGCCTCAGACAAGTATGATGTATTCAAGCAGCTGTCCCTGGAGGGCGGCCCGGCCCACGACGACGGCAAGGAGAGCGGCGGGGGCTCCTTCTTCTCTCTCAAGAGCGACACCGACGACTTTGCCGACTTTCAGTCCTCAAAGTTCTGCACGGCGCTCGGGGCTTCGGAAAAGACGCTGGTGGACAAGGTGGCCGCTTTCAAACAGGCCACAGAGGACTCTGCCTCCGTCAAGTCCCTCGACCTCCCGTCCATCGGGGGGAGCAGCGTAGGAAAGGACGACTCGGAAGACGCACTCTCTGTGCAGCTGGACATGAAGCTCTCGGATATGGGCGGAGACCTGAAGCATGTGATGTCGGACAGCTCTCTGGATTTGCCCGGCCTCTCGGCCCACCAGCCCCCCGCTACAGGTGAGGAACTAGTGCGATTGCTCTGGTGAGGCCCCATCCAGTCACATCCAGTATTAATTTCATAGCCAGCGGTGGCTTCTTCTCCTCAGTGCCCACTTGTGACCAAAAAACAGGGATCAAAGGGCAAGTAATGAAGCCCTAATTAAAATTGAACACGCTCCAGCGCTGATGAGACGTAACACTACATGAATAACATATCAGAGTAGATGCATAGTATCATTCATTCCACGGGTCATCATTCATCAAATCATATTTATTTATTATTTATTAATGTACTTGAATCCTTAGTTCCCCTCCCCTTTTTGTTGTAAATATTGCTTCCCCCCCTCCCCCTGCCCCCAGCATTTATTATAATTGACAGAAAGTTCCTCTTGTCAAACAAAATGGTGGAGGCCGAGGTTGAATGACTGTGACTCCCTATGTGTTGTAGCAGGCGGGCCTCCCCCCACTGCACCTTTTGTCCCCACAGGCCCGACTTTAGGAGTGTGTTATTGACGTGTCGCCCAGAGCTGACGGAGCGGTGGAATAGAATACAGTCGAGAACAAGAGATGGTTACAGGGACAATCGTGTTGTTTATTCCCGTCACACGTTTCCCACAGTCGGCTGCAGTTTAAATTCATTATTTTTAATTTAATTAAATTTTTAAATCATCAACAACATTTTTTTCACGGTTTGCAAAACATAATATGGATTAGCTAAAAAATATAGTCCTTAGTTTACTTAAATGTGCCAGGCGCTTTGTTCTGTAGCCCTCAGCTGGTACACGGCGGGCCAGTGGCTCATAGATGACCGCACCAACAGTACCAGCCACAGTTAAAGGGCTGTCCGGGCTAACAGTGTGTGCACCCCGAAGGGAACGGGAGGGGTGGGCGCCGCTGCAGTCTGTCCGGGCGCCGTTGGGCGGGTATGTCTACAAAGCACAGGGAAGCCCAAGTAAACAACTCACACTGATTTTCTGCTCAGGTAGACATTCCTCCACCATGTATTTACATGGCAAAGAATTGTTTAGTGCTATATAAATGCTCAGAATAGTGCATAAAGCTCCTTACATACATGTTTTTTTTATTTATAAATGAAGCAGTGTTCCACAGCAGCAGCCGAAATGTTAAATGCATCTTAGCTGGATGCAAAAGCATTCTTTGGCCGGTGTTCTTCGTGCTATCGTGGTGCTGTGCAGTATTTTAGACCTACCATGCAGTATTCTTCGGATCAAATGGTCCTCTGTTTTGCGTGCACATCACCTTTTGTGAAAGTGGAGTCAAAGTGTTTAACCCCTGGAATTGGTTCTCGCAGCGTCCAATCAACTCCACCCACTTCTCTTGGGTCATCGGCAGTCGATTGGTCGAAGTTGATTGGACGGGCGTTTTTACAATCTCATTCATACGTACAGGGTTGAGTCAGCCTGCTGACCCCCGAGGTGGCTCACAGGGCTGTTCCTTGTTCGTTCAAAGTTTATTAATATTGAAGGTCAATTGCTAATTGAACCCTGTGGTGTTCCATGCAATTACACCCAGGGGTGACGTTGATTGAGCATACGCTGATCTAGTTTGATTAAAAGGAAATAGAACCCGGTTTTGGTGATAATCCGGTGACGTCCATGTCAGCCCTCCCTCTCCTGTGCTTGTCATTTATTCATTGAGCGTATCACCTTCCATGCCAGGTCTCATGTTTTACAGAAACATTCTTAATGTGTTAAAGCCTCCAAGCTTAAAACATTAGTTTTACTTTTTCTACCTTTTATTGAACCCTTTTCTTTTTTTACACTCATACATCCAACTTTTTGTTGTTCCTCGACTTTATCAGATAATCTTGCTTAAACAACAGGTTTCTCATATCATTTCACCCGAGGAATTTATCATTCTTCTTCCTGATCAGAAAAAGATATCCTGAATATAAACATCCCCATTGCCTTATTTGAGTTTCTGTACAGTGATCAAAATAAAACTGGTCCCTCTGTAGTGACGGAGTTGGATTGATTTGAGTCTAAGGAGCTGCAGGCTACTCCTGATAACCGCGGCCAGTTTAAAAGTCGACAAATTCCTAAGAAGCTTTTTACACGACCGTACCGGGCTTTTGTCCTTATCTATCCCATGTTGTGTTTTCCGGAGAGCTTTGGGGCTAATCTATTGTTAAGGTGTAGAAGGCAGAGCAGTTTGAGCACCACCTGGTTCTCTGGACATGTACGTAATCTTAAAGAGGCAGTATTTCACTTGTTAGGTTCCTTTTTTAATTTATTTTTTAGGAATCTTTCTTTTTTGTTTGTTTCTTTGTTTTTCACCGTTGTCTGTGATAGTGCGGCATGAATCATCTTGTGTACTCTCTGGTCTGGCTCTCTGAGAACATCACGCCGTTAGTATTACACTTCCTGCCTTGCTCTTTGCTGCAGTATGCCTGCCTTTTCAATTTGTGAAATTGACAAGAACATAATACAATATATCATTTTATTTATAACAGTATTGCAAGTTGTTTTATTGAAGGAAACAAATGTATACATACAGATTTAATAGTGTATTTTTATTACAGGACTATTGAGCTCTGATTATGAAAGACTCCTTGATTACTGATGTGATTTGCAACGTATGTCAATTAAATGTAGCCTGCAGTATTTAGTGAGATCAAAATATTTTGGGTCAACAAAAACATTGTTGTCTCGAGTAGTGATGTGGTATAATTTAAAGGATTATAAGAGTGCGTGCACATTGGCCTGCTTCGTCAAACAATCACTGTCTATTGAAGGGAATAGGGATACTGTCTCTTTAAATCTGTTTCTGCATCTGTGCTTGGATGTAATTAAAACCCTTTCTGGGATGTCAGGCTTTGTTTTCTGCAACCCTTTGAGTGCTTGAACAAGATCACTTAATGTTTTTAGATGCAGATGAGGAGGTTAATGCAGATGTTGTGATTACCTCCCCTTAATGTGTTATTAGAATAAACCCAAGGACTAAAATATTATTTCATAATTGTAAATAGATAAATGGCAGCATCCTGAATTGTATATTTTTAGTCTTCACTGCTCCTAAAAGGCAGTTTAGTTCAGACTTTCCAAACAAACCAATTCTTCCCTCAAGTCCTCAAAGGGTTATTGCTTCCTTGAGCTGGTTCTTTACTTTATCTTTTCAACTTGGCTTTGCAAGTGTTCTGTACTCAAATCTTTTCCAAAACACCTGTTGCTTTACATCCTAATAGTAAAACACAGTTTGTCCTCCCCCCAGAATTACTGATTTTAGTCTGTGGATGTGCCTTCTCATTCTGGGTCCTGCTTCAATATCCTCGGATTATCTTGCTTTTACTTCTGTTTTGTTTTTTTCTACCCTTTTCTCCTGACTGCATGCCCTTGTATTCTAAATGACTGAAATCTAATATTTTACAAGTGTTAGTTTGACAAACCTCTTGTAATGATAGACCTCTTTCACAGTACTTTCTGACCTCTCTCTTTCTCTCTACTCATGTTGTCGTAATAAATATTACTGTTGGTATTGCTCAAATGCGTACCGTCTTTTTTTCCTTCTTCCATTTCTTCACAGTGATCTAATAACACAAGGCTTACGGTATTAGGTCCTTGTCAATTTCACAAATTGCTTTTGTTGTCTGAGGGCTTCTGTCATGCAAAACGAGGTCGACGTGTGCGGATGTGTCGGAAAAAAATCGCGAGAGAGCCGCGAATCCTCCAGTGTTGTGACAAATGTGTGTCAGTTAGTCTTTTTGTTAAAGAAAGAGAACACAAACTGTGCTCTGCCAACACAACACGGTGTAAGAAGCATGGCAGATGTAACGGCAGGAGGGATCTTTTATTGATCTTTCAGTATAAAGAGGTCAAGTGACGATCAATGCGAGCAGGGCAGCAGGTGGCGGCCATTGTAGAGAGAACTGTGCGCCACAAGAACAAGCAGTATTAGTATTCATTGTGTTGTAGTGAATTGACAGCGGCCATTTTCTTCTCATGAACATGATCGACATCAAACATCAAAACATTTTGTTCCATATTTGTGAGGAGAAATGTGCATGGAAAGATGTGTCACTTACTACAACAACAATTAGTCAGGCGCTGGTGTTGAAACGGAGAAGTCAGCCCCACTTTGTGGTTATATTGCCTTTTACAATATTATCTCATTCATGACACCACATGTTGACTGCAGCATAGAGACACCACACAAGATACTAGTAAACTTTCAAGTTTTATTCGCACATTCTTTAGATATCTTTGAGATTTCTGCCTCCATTCCAGAACAATAGTTTGGTGTTTACAGGATTGAAAATGACATTTAGTAGATTCAACACATATAAAATAATTTTTCTGAATCATGCAGGGACTGTCCACGGTGAGGTATCCAAGGTAATCACGGGTATTGTTTTTTCCAATGAGATGGTTGCTTTTCAGTGTGATTCTCCTGAGCACCACTAAAAGATTGTATTTGGGTCAGAAATGTCAGACTTAATAAACCCAAACTGTCTTCGGGCTTGACACCACCAGAGATAAGTGAGGTATTATAACACCTGAACTATCAATAAGTAAATAATCCAACAAAAATCTCAGTCCCTCACCCAGGCTCATTGATCTTCCTCCTGTCATGGCAGCGTCTGTTCCCAGGAACCACCGGTGTGTCTGTGTTCTCATTACAGACGGCGACGACATGAGATTTGACCCCTTCGGGACGTCGGCGCTCAGCACCCTGGCCAGCTACGACTGGTCCGAGCGCGAGGAATGTCTGCCCGGTGAGGTCAGGAAGCCCCAGGGCTTCGATGGGGCTTCCCTTCCCTCGTTAGTGCCGGCGCAAAGGAAGGAGCCGACCTTTGGCAGCGCAGAAAACCTCCCGGGCAGCGGCGTAGCAAAGGTCGCTGCCTCCGTTCCCACGGAGGACGGCTCGTCCACGGATGACAAGTTTGAGGCCTTTGTTGATTCGGGCCCCGGCGAGCAGAGCGGTGTCGACGACGAGGACGACTTTGGGGACTTTGCGAGCACTGTTTCTGAAAAGTCTGACTCGCCAGCTGCCGCTGCCGAAGGCGGCTCCGAGGGAAACCAAGACGAGGCCTCTGATGAGTTTGGGGCCTTTCAGGGGGACAAGCCCAAGTTTGGCAAGTCTGACTTCCTCAAAGCCAGCGCTCAGACCAACGTCAAGTCCAGCGAGGAGATGATCAAGAACGAACTGGCGACCTTTGACTTGTCGGTTCAAGGTGAGTCACAATCATCACGTTGAACCTACTACGTGTGAGAGACAGAAGTAACCGCGTCGTCATCGTTCTTTGATGTTAACTATTCTCAATAGTGGTTCCCAGGAACAGCAAAGAAAATGGGAATAATTGATAGTGAAAACACTCATCGCTTGCAGCATTTAATCAGAAAGGGAAACATTTCAATCATGTATAGAGAAAAAAAACATGTTCAACTAATCTATTTGATCCTGTTGTGTTCAGAAATCTTGCGACTAAGAACTTCAGGAATCGTGTTCTTATTTTAGGAAGAAAAACTCATATTTTATGTGGTTTCTATATATATTTCAATGCAATTAGTTCAAAACAAAGAAGCTACAACCCATTTGGGGAGGGGGGAGCCTTCAAAAGGGGGCTTGGCAGAAAGAGTATCGGAACCACTGCTGTGGGCTATTTTTAAACCCCTTGGCCCTAAAATGGCGCGACAACACTGTTCAAAAGCCTCTTTTCCTGCCACCCTCGCATGCTCAGCCTATCAGACCTGCAGTGAGGCTGTCGGGCGTTAGATGGCAGTGTTGGGATGACGAGTGAGACGGATTAGCAGAGGCCAACAAATCCATGAGCACAAATTAACCCCATCCACCGAGAGAAAGAAGTAGAAGCTGCTCCTTTTTTTAACCGCCGTTTGCGGTCATCATGTTCCAGGAATAATTTGTCAGCTATTCCCGCACCGCCATAAAGGCCCATTTGCTATTTATCTCCCTGCGCTCGATTTAATTTGTGTGAGAAAGCGAGCCTCTCTTTCCTCTCTGTGCCCAGTGGAACAGTAATCTGATCTTGGGGCGGGGGCTTCTGGGTCGTGGGGACGATGACGCATGTCTCTGTGGGTGGTGGAGAATTTTGAGGGGGGGTGGGTAGATTACCTGCGTCTGAATACACAAACACACAAATGCACTTACTGCCAGCCCCACTGGAATAGCCCATGTTTGCTGTGGTGCCCTGCCAGGATTTGCCTGCGAGTCCTGGTGAATAATTCATACCTGCGTATTTGTGCCTCTCTTTTATATGTAATTATCGGTGTCACAAATTAAGCATTTACTGAAGCTGTCCTTGTCCACAAAGGACAAAATGAGTCCTCACCTCAGGTGGCTGTGAAACAAAACGAGTTTGTGTTCCGGCTTTGTCTCAGGCTCTCACAAACGCAGCCACAGTTTGGGCGACAAGGAGATTGGGCGTTCTCCCCCGTCTCCGGCCCCTGACCAGCCCTTCAGAGACCGATCCAACACCCTCAGCGAGAAGCCCGCGCTGCCTGTCATCAGGGACAAGTACAAGGACCTGACCGGGGAGGTAGAGGTGAGGAGGCGCCCGTCGCCAACTATTTCCAACCACCAGATTTTCGGCCCGTGAAAAGCTCCAGAACAAAGACGTGGTTCTCTGTTGCTTTGGTGTTCATGGGAGATAATTTTGTGCTCTGTTACTGCAGGAGAGCGAGCGGTACGCATACGAGTGGCAGAGGTGTCTGGAAAGTGCTTTGGAGGTTTGTATTTGTTTGTCCCGCCTTGTCCCAAGGTGATTTTTCACTGCGAGAGTGACTATTCAAGTATAAAGAATAATTAACATAACTATAACTATAGGTGGACGTTTTTTTCACCTGAAATGTCCAGACCAGAATCTGGAAGCGGGTTCCTTATTAACACAGTAAAACAGCGCACTGTCAAGTAAGTAAAGTTGTGATGAAAATGTACATCTGCATAGTGGTATAATGCTGGCTTCTATCTTCCCACATTAAGGTTATCACCAAAGCCAACAACATCCTGAACAGCATCAGCAGCTCCTCCGTCTGCACCGAGGTCATCCAGTCCGCTCAGGGCATGGAGTACCTGCTGGGTGAGGAGTCACACACACACACAGTCACACACACAGTCACACACCACCATGAGCAAGGCAATGTGAGCTATGCAGTGTGAGGCTGTTAAAGAACCTTGTGTGCGGCCTCGCGCCCCTCTGAAGGACACAGAGGGGACAGGATTAAACCCACCTGGTGCGATGGCTTATCTCCGCCCGCCTCGACGAGGTCCCGCTCCCTCGTCGTGCTCCTCTCCTTTTTAATGAGCTACTGGGACTGAAGACGCCGCACCTCCCTCGTTTTCGTGATGTGTGTGTATTTCCCTCCCACAGGCGTGGTGGAAGTGTATCGCGTCACCCGGCGCGTGGAGCTGGGCATCAAGGCGACGGCCGTGTGCTCCGAGAAGCTGCAGCAGCTGCTGAAGGACATCAGCCGCGTGTGGAACAACCTCATGGGCTTCATGTCGCTGGCCAAGCTCGCTGTAAGATAGAACCTAGCAACAATTCACAGTTACGCAGTAAAAGCACCAGACTCGGATGCCGTCCGGATACGTTTAAACTTTTGTTTAAACTTTTTAAGTGTAGGTACAGAAATACACAGCGAACAATAAGCGAATGGAATAGTGGCATAACCAATATTGTTGTTCCATTTTCAGGAAAAAAATTCAATGATTTGTTTGCAGTGTAGCTTGAGCCTTTTGGCAGGTGTTTGAATCAAAAGATGTGACTTTAAACCCCAGCTTTAAGCCGTCTGCTGAGGACGACTGTCCTCATTCAAAGAGTTTTTTCACATTGCGGAACGTGAAGCTCGAGGAAGGAGGCAGAAAAAACAAATGCAACTAATGTTTAATTAAATCAGACATGGAGCTGTTTTTCTTACAGAAAGAAAGACAGACGTTTGTATCGGTTTTGTTTGTACACTTCTAGGAAAGATGATTATGACTACATTTTTAAGTAAAATGAGTTTGTGTGTGTGTTTTTCTTTATGCGTGCGTGCAGCCTGATGAGAGCTCCCTCGATTTCTCCTCCTGTATTCTGAGGCACGGCATTAAGAACGCCAAGGAGTTGGCTTGTGGTGTGTGTCTACTCAACGTCGTCGCACGCAGCAAGGTTGGTCCCCCACACAATCACACACACACACACACAGGATAACTGCTAGTGGATACATTTATTTTACACAAATATTGTTGTGCTCATCTGTTTGACTTTGAAACGTTTTGCAGAGGAAAGAAGAAAGCGCTATTGGACGTCTGTTTAAACGAGTATGAGACATTCAACTGTAAACTAAATCTCATTCCACTCTTCCCCTCTGGGGGGCTTTTGGGGGCCTATTCTGTTCTTGCCGACGAGCCCGAGCGGGGGTGGGGGGGGGGCAGAGTGACAAGACTCGCACTAGATTCCAGCCCAAATCAATCCATCAAACATTAACCAATTGCCTGTCAAGCCTTCTGTTTCGCACATAGCACACGTGCAGTTTATAACAAACCGGTGATGAGCGCCGTTGCTGCCAGATCACTTGTAGCCAGCGAGCTATGTTAGCTATGCTATGTTTACGAAACTAAATCGGAAAGTCTCAGACGAAGGCTCGCCGTTCTCATATAAAGTATTTTTTGTGTCAGTGAAGATGAAGTTAATGTGAGGTTGTGGTACTGTTAGCTTTGAACTGTGTACACTACAAAAGAGAAAAAAGAGGCTTGTATCTTAAAAATGAACTAGTGCGTAACACTCCGGTAACTGGCGCTTTAATGTAATAAATATTGTGGTATTGTTTTAAATTATATAACTCCACAAAATAACCTAGTCGTTAATCTGACATGGAAGGAACTTTGGAGAAGAGGACGCTCTTCATTCTTTACACTTTTGTTAAACTATTTTTGAAACAAAGCACACACCCCTTATTACTCCCCTCGCGTCTCCTACTAGAGACCCATGTGCACCGTTCCAACATGTGAAGAAATCCAGGGCTTGGCAGGGCTGACATGTCTCCTTCCAGCTGCTGAGCTGTGATTGGACGATCACCGCTCTCGTGCTGAAGGACGACTGAGAAAAATCTGGATGATAATGTGCACTCTTTAAATAGCTGAGAGAGGGCAGTTGTCACTTTGGCACCTCGGGGAGGGTCCTTGGACTCTGGGATTGGTTCTTCAATGTCACGCGGGTCACTTTTTCTTGGAAGGGTTTCATTTTCCACCTCTTACGCAGGGTAACTGCTCATCTCGCCACCCGCGGCTAACTACTATTGGTGTTTCTGCTAAGTGTTCAGTCATCAACGGTGAATTGGGGCTGTGTGCAAAAGTGTGTGTGTTGTGTGTGTGTGTGTGTGTGTCTACCGCCTCGCCTTCGGTGGCTCTGCTTTTCATCGACGTGGGCCTCTGACGGGGTACTCGGACCCTGCGGTCTGGAGGGCAGGATGGCGGCGCAGATTGTCTCTGTTGGCCGAGCAGGAACAGATGGATGGCTCTGGCAAGATATGGCTGACTGAGGGGCATCTAGGAGCAGATGTGCCTCACACGTTAGTCACGAGCATGAGTACTACTGACTATTAGACCTGCACACAAACACACACACACACTCACATCTCACTCGAATGTGCATAGAAGCAGGCTGAAATGAATGCAGTTCTATTTTGTCTCGGTGCCACTAGCACGAGATTAATAACCCATCGTTTAATTGCATTTTTGTTTTTGGCAGAGCCACACTGTTGAGAATGAATAAAGCCACGTGAAGAATAGCATCCCCTCAGAGTATAATGAAGTGAAAGAACTGCTTTGGCTACAGCAGACGGCCCAGATTGTTGCTTTGTCCTTTAGTGAAGAGGTACTTGTTTGTTTTTCAAACAAGGTACTGAATTTCAATTTTTCCAAAGTGTTGTCTTTGTTGAAACAAACTGATCCAAAAAAAGTGCATTTTATTTGCAATTCATTAAGGGCTTCATTTCATCTCTGTTTGTCATTCAAATGCAGCAGTTATGTTTGATCATAAATGACACTTTTCAGCTAACGATGCTCTGGTGCATCTCCTAAATGATGTTTTTTCTCCAATGTTAATTGGAGCAATTACAGGGAGAAGCACTGAAAAAGGACTTGAATCATTTTGCATATCTGCCTATTTACGTGTTAATGCCAGTTTGCCAAGTGCCTAAGGAGTTTGGATCAATATTTCTGTGTAGCTTTTTACTTGAGGAGGATTAGAGCCTTTTTCTGCAAATGTGCCAATCCTCCTAATTTGAATTGGTAAATCTGTATTTTGGTGGATTAGCAAGGTTCCTACGCAGCTAAATACATCTCTCAGGTAATGCCAAGCCTCGGGGGAGATGTGTGCATGTGCAAGTTATTCAGTCACACATTGGTTCTGACACAGACTGTAGGGGGAAGAAATAGCCTCAGCAGGCCGATTGTGTCTGACCTCCACCGCTGTATCAGTAATCAGCCAATTAAACCCAGATGGAATGGCATGGTAGTAAAAAAAAAACAATTTCTCTACTGTAATCCGAAGAAATGCACAATTTATTACGGGAAGAAGATGCTGTAAAAGTGGAATTCATGTCAGGAACTATAGAAACAGCAACCAATAGGTATGCTGTTAACAGCAGCAGAATAGTTGGTATTTAATGGCCATATTTTCAACCAAACAAATCAGTGCATACATGAATGTCGTAGGAAGCTTTACAAGGGAAGTGCATGCACAGTAATGTGTATATTTCAGATGGACTGCACTGACCTGCCACCATGAGCATGCCGACTGAGGCATATATCAGTACTATCTATCAATCAAGGCCAGATCACTTGAATTTCAAGACTGAAAGTAGCCCTGAGGTGTAATAACATGTACTTTTTCATGTTTTCACTCCCAAATGTACTGGGAAAGGGAGATTTCTTGTGGTAAAACAGCTGATCGTAATGTTTGCTCGCTGCTCTTCCTCTGCACGCTTTGCTGTACCTGTACATGCTGACCGCTCTTGTGCTAACGGGCATTTATTGACACTGACGGGGGGTTAAGGGTAATTATGCCTCTTCAAAAATTGAAAAAAATTCAATTTACTATTGTAGAGTGGAGGTGCAGAAGGCTGTTTCAGGGCCATTTTTTTGCTTCTCCTTCCTGGTAGCATGTATGAATGGTAGTATGAATTCTTACCCTTAACATGCACCTAAAAGGTCAGCCGAATTAGAAGAGGTGTAGTTTTATCTGACCAGCTCCAGCTTGAAAGCATAGATTGTCTCATTTATGTTCAGCCTGAGTTGCAAGTGGCTTCCCGTCTAAAAGCTTAATGATACACGTCTGTCTAGAAAAGTACTAAATCAGCCCACAGTCGCTGCCAAACAGGTGATGTCTAGGGAGGAGTCAGTGCCCATACAAATGCATGTTTGAAGTGTAAAGTCTACACGGAGAGAGGAGAAGGGATGACAGTTTACCCTTTGCGTCACCACACCGTTATTTAGTATATTCTCTCTCTGACAGTTTCCAGCTTTGGCAGCGTGCAGGTACATGATAACAAGTGGGCCAGTGTTAAAGAAAAGTCAGTGTGGGAAGGGGGGCATTCAGTCTGCGTGAGGACGCCTTTTGTCCCGCTGGCCGCGTGCCCTGCAGGCGTTTTTCAGTCAGGCGGAGGCGTGTCAGTCTGCATTTGGGTGCAGTTGTTGCTTTTCTGCATGCAAGCTGTGATTCGTTGCACGTGTCTCATTTCCTTTCTCCCGGTGTCTCATCCCCCCCGATGCAAACTGTCAAACAGCACGTTGCAGACATTAGCCTCTCATGAACATCAACACGCGGTTTATACTTCCTACTACGTCCTAAGCAGTTTTTAAATATACGTCTACATATATTTTTTCAGAAATGTTGCTTTTGCCTAAAGGCAATGACATACAAACATGCGGTAAGGTTTGCTAGGGTTGAGCAGAGACATTTACAGTGCATAAGGATTCTTCTCTTGATGTCATGTGGTCTACATTTTATTTATTTCACCACAAGAAAACCCTTTTAATTTTATTGATACTTACAACCGACACAGCACACCGTGATTTAATGTGCGTTTAACTCCCCATAAGCATTCTGCAGCTGTAAAGCACTCTGGGGGAAACTTGAGGTTCAGTGTCTCACGCAGGGGACACTTGTGAACATGTGAACAGTAGCAGCCGGAGAACAAACCACCCATTTGGGGATTAAAGGTCGATTCGCTCCATAATCTGAGCCACAGTTACCCCAAAATAACAAAGACACTGTCTTAATGTCTCAGTGAGCTTAAGGTGTCTCGGCATCTTGTATTTTCCTGGTTTGACTTTGAATATAACATAATTTTTCAGAAAACATTAAGACTAGATTTTAGGTTTTTCACTATTTATATGCATGCGATGTTCAGTTGTATGGATAGACAGAAAAGCGAGTTAAGTCTTACCTAGCTGGGATTACATGGTTGAAAACCACGTCTATTGAAATGCGACTAGGCTGAAATGTACAGTAGGGGCCATATGTGAAAGCTAAACTCATGCTCTAAATGAACATTGGTGCCCATTTTCAGTATTCTTGGTGCGTGAAGGCATAATACAGTGTCTCCTTCCTTGTCCATATCTTCCCTGTCTGTCCCTCTTTCGCCTGTGTGTACAGATGAGTTAATTGTCTCTTTGTTTCAGATGCATAATATATAATAAACCATAATATACCAATTGCCACTTTGACAGGCCTTCAACTCTGATACGGACAACTTCAAACTGCTGTACGGAGGCCACCAGTACCACGCCAGCTGCGCCAATTTCTGGATTAACTGTGTGGAGCCCAAACCCCCCGGCCTCATACTTCCTGACCTGCTGTGAGCTCTGGGCTGCGGCTGCCATGGCAACAGGGCACAGGCTAATCAACATCAGATAGGTAGAGCGCCGGCGACGACGCCGCTCCGGCTGCCGCCGCGGAGCGAGAAGAGGACGTTCAAAGACACTGGATTCCTTTGTATTTACCATGTTTGATTTCAGCTGCATAGGTCACATTAGTAATGAGCAATGTGCTTATTATATAGTTTCCACTGATTTTCACTGTTGAAAAAAGTCAATGAATCCATTTTCACTCGTTAACGATGTATTTAAATTATTAGTTGTGCAATATAAATCTGGGGTTTTTAATGTGACTCGTTGCTTCTGTTTGAGAGGATTTATTCTCACGACTTCCTTTCTTCCTGTTGACCCAGAGCCGTTGAATCAAACCTATTCTTGAATTACATTTGTGGGTCAGGTCTGTTTAATGGAACTTTTAATAGGAGACCTTTAACATTTAAACTGAGGCCGTTTGTGGGTTTTCTTGAGTTGTGTTGAATTGATGGCTTTGAATGTTTTTGCACGGTTAAGGAGAGTTCAGCTCTTCTAAAGGTATTTAAAATGTATATTTTATAGAGGAAAAGAGTCTGGATTCGAGGTGTTTAAGGGGTTCATGCTAACGGTTTGGTTTTTGTGTCGTCTTTGTGTGCAGCTAGAGCTGAAGGTAAAGAATGATTCTGAACTGGAATTGCAGCAGCACTTTTTGTATATTACAGTGTCGTGCTGTAGCATTGTAATTATAACCCAAATGTGATGTAAATAAATATGCATACAGTTTAAAGTGTCAGACGTTATTGAGCGTTTCTAAAGGCTATTTTTAAACCATACTCTCGTATGTACAGTGAGTTTATTTTTAATCAATTCTTTTGAGCTGTTGCCAAACATTTGGACTGTTTGCCAACGGGGATTCAATCAGCTACATAAAAGGCTGCAACAACAGCGATACTCTGAGTAGAGTGGTTTTTCTTTGGGTACAATGCTAATATATCTCAAACTTAAAAACACCAGAGCAAAAGTGTAAGGAAAGGATAAAACTGTCCTCCACGGCTAAATGTGATACCGCGGTTCATTTGACCAATTCCTTGAATAAAACGCATCTTAAAATAAGTCACTCTCGTAGCTTCTCTCCGCGGTGTTGAAATTATGTATTTATATTATATACATTGATGACTTGATGCTAATTTTATCAGCTAATGACAGTAGCTTTGAGTACAGAAGGGAAAGTATAAATCATCTCATCTAACTTTAGTCATAAAGAAAATAACCTTCTTGAACTCAGCATCGCTGTTCAACGTTTTAACGTTGGTTTTCCAAATAATTTCTCCTACATTTTTGTGTGTTACCGCCTTACAGCCTTAAAATAAGCCTTTTAATTCACAAGGCTTTTCATCTTCCGCCTGATTTTCTAAGAAGCTTCCTCAGCCAAATGCATGAATTTTGCCCCCCCCCTCCTCCATCATTAGTAATTAACCGCCTCCTCGGCCGGAGAGGCCTCGTCTCCACCCGTTCACGACCAAATGGAATCATTTCTATCGCCGGCGGTTGAGCTCAACCAATGAAACGAGGCGTCTTGGCCTCAGTGAAACTCGTCTCATTATCCTTCTCACGTGTGCGTGTGTGTGTTCAGGTGTGCTCTCCAACATCCATTTACCTCTCGCTGTTACCTAATTCATTTCCTGCAGAAAATGAAATCCTCTCTGTGAGCACCGGGACTACAGACAATTACACGCCCCAAAATCAATTGCTGAATAAAGCTCGTAAATGGAAATACCTGTCGTCTTCGCGCCTATTGTCCGCCGTGCTGAGATGATGGCTGCTGGAGGGGAGCGTGTTGGAAGAGACGCTGTGCTGTTTAACTGGTATTTCATGACCGTGCTCCATCACATTCATGTTTAAAAACAGCTGCTTCTGAACATAATTCGCCTCAACTCTTGGGAATAGAGCTGCTTCCTGCATTCTTTTTCTCCAATAACATTTCCATTGTTTGGGTTGTGATTTGTTTGTACTGTGGGAAGAGCATAACGTTTGTAAGGTTGTCTTCTATTCATGATGAGTATCTACTAGATTTTAGAGGCTTGCGGTGATATTTGAGTTTGAATCTATATGGGCTACGCAGCATCAATCCTTCGTGGCCAAAATCAGTTATAAAATGCCAACAAACTAGAAAAACATACTAGTCAGCGCTCAACGAACTATGAGACGATCTACAGAGGAAGAGGAGAGAGTGTGGGATACAAACCTTTAGGATAATTTCACGGTTTTAATCTTTTCATCGAATTTTCTAACAAGAAAAATCACACTTATGTAAAAATCCTGTACCGCCGTTTTTAACGAAAGCACCAAAAAGATGCAAAATTTCCCCACGGACCTGAACACTAATTTGTGTCATTTTCATTATCCATGTCTCACAGTCTGTTGCCTCGGAGCTCTCATCAGTTCATCCAGTCGAGGCTGTGAACGCGATGGACGGATGAGTCATTGTTACGCGCTGATTCAGCCGCTCACTGAGGAAGATTGACTCGTTTCGCTGCAGACCAACTCGTATCAGGCAACACATCCCACTGCGCTTAGGATGTTCTACACTCCCTGTGAGGGGTTTTATTCTCTCTAAGCGCATTTCAGTTGTGGATTCTTTATATCACTCCTTCCATTGTATAATTGTATGATGTGAACATGAAAAAACACCATCATTTAAAAAAACTGTACTCACATTTATTTAGGTCTAAGATTGTTGGCAGCAAAATAATCCACATTTTTGATGTGGCTACTTTTTGCAACTAATAAATACATACTTTGAATTACATCCAGCAGCATATGTGGCTAAATCAGGTTGTCAAATCATAACAGCAGGGAAAGCAGCATGTTAATAACTGGCGTTGTGCGTACGGCCTTGTTAAAATGGAAATGTAGTGTTTACACGTATGGGAGTAGTGCAGTGACTCATAGTGATAATAATAAATTATTAAAGGATAATATGAAGCTTAGAGTAGCCGTGATTCTGTAATTCATTGAACATAGCAGATGTTCATATTTTGTTTGAGTGGTTGAAAAAACCCCTGCTCAGTCAAATATGCAAAACTGGAGTGGTGCAGAAATATGAACTGAAATATTCCCTTTTTTCCGCATAAAATGTATCAATATAATTGTTGAGCTGTATTTTTTTTAATACATTTTGTCTTCCTCAACACTTTCACAACCCTCCGTACTTCCGAATACTATCACAGGAGAGGGAAATACTACATTCAACAATATATATATATATATATAAAAAAATCATTTACCCAATATTTGGCAGCATGTGCCAAATATTTGGGGGTTGTGTCTCTAAAATGTGAGAATGAAGAGAAAGAGAAAAGGATTTCTTTCTGCTGTGAGGTAATGGAGCGCAGTGTAATGTGAGCACATCCCCTGTGCATCACCGTCGTGGTCGCCAGTCATCCGATGTCCCTCTGGGTAATGGTGTTTATCGTGGAGACCACTCCAGAGGGGAGTGAGCACCAGGCACATGGCGCTCATCAATAATCTGCCTGCCGCTCTGTAGCCACAGCAAAATGACGTGATGGATTGCAGCGCTTGACGTCTGAAAATGTCTCCCGAGGAAAAACGTGCCGGCGTAACTGAGATCAGGAGGCGTCAGCAGAAGAAACGCTGCATTCTGATCAAGCAACAACATCTCAGACATGTTGTCTTTAGAAGAAAAAGGTGGGCAGTTATTCCTGTAAATGCTGAAAATTGAATCAAATTTGCACAAAAAAACAGTGACATGACAACTTTTTTTAACACCACTTTAATATGCCGGTCTCGGGGAATCAAAGGACTAGACGTCAGATTACAGAATATCTCCTTCCTATTAACAATTGACACCTGATGTTATTGTAATATCACATTTAATGTATTATGGCATTGTTGGGGAAAAAATAAAAAGTGTCAACGTCTGTTAAAGACGACAATATGTTATTCTGCAGCAGGGTGACAGTCAAGAAGGTAAATAACAACACAAAGAAAAGCGCGATTCATTCACTGCCCACGAGAAGGACGCGACCTCAGCTGCAGCATATGCAAAATCGTAGAAGTAATCTGACGCATATGCTGCTGGAACAACGAGTTAAGATCGGTAAATATACAGATTATTGTGAACAACTTTGAACATGATGTATCTCTGGAATCCGTAATCTCTCTCAGACTGCGACCACTTCACCTCCCTTCATTAGATGCACGTAAGTGGCCTGCGGACCACGCTGGGGGCACGATGGAAGAACCCATGTACGGCGGGTCAGAAGTGCCAAATTGTGTTAAGCAGATGAGATCAAATTGAAGTTGATAGCTCAATGTGAGTCAGTGCTTGGAAATCAGAGGACGGTGGCCCTCATTGAAAATATGTTAAGCCGCGTGGTCCTACTGGTGAGCAGGTTTTCCTCAACAACATCTATAGGCTGATGGTTTGAGTTTGATCGGCATTTTCACCATTTCCTGACGCCTTAGTCAATCAAGAAAATGCAACCTGGGAAGTTTTTGAGCAGTAGTGGTGCTTTATTTCACGGGCAGCCTTGAGAGCACCTGAGCTGACAGCATCTCTTTATTTCTAGCGCTTTCTGCTGTATCCCACTAAAACCACAGCTCCCGTTGCACTGTGAAAACTGGGCTTTGTCAATGTGAGAAGAATCAGAGTTTTTCAGTGTCTGGAGAAGATCCTACGCTACAAGATTCCCAGGTATTATAAAGAGCAATTGCAGACCCCCTACCCATTTCATTTTATTGCCTTTTTTTTTGTCATTTACGATGTTTTATCGCATTTTTTTCTTCAGTGAAACTGAAAAAAAAAAAAAAAAATCATAAAATAAATTAAAAAAGAATGAATAAATGAAAAGAAATGTATTCGAGCCTAAGGATATGGTTTATTTACCGTAAATCTCGACAGAATACCTTTAGAAGAAAAATATACTATACCAAAAACTAAAAAAAGGAAAATAAATAAGTCTTTAATGCACTGTGATAATATTGGTATGCTTTGGTCTTAATTGCGATATACTGCAGTGGTTCTTTTTTTCTCACCTCCATGAACTTCATAAGTGTGGGGACGGGATGCGCAGCAAAGTTCAACATTTCAACCAGAAGTAGGATGTTCAGCCTGTCACAACGCTCTTTAGGCTGATTTACAAAGAAAGACAAATCGTTTGCAACCTATGAACAATAAGCAGAAAATGAGGTGAAGACAAGCATCTGTCCTACAGCTACAGATTCCCTTGTGGTGCGATATATCTTTTTGTTTGTTATATCTTTTTGTAATACAGCATCAAATAGCACTTCAATAACATAGTGTGGTCACATGATGAAACAGTCGACCCTGTGTTACACAGGAGCTTTCCATAGATCTTGACTTTTTGCTTTTCTCCGTTTTTCTAACTCAAAGACGGTGGATACATCTTTAACCCTTGACATGAAATATGCCGTTTGTTCCTCAATATCAGTACATTCCAATAAAGTAACTGTCTGCGTGTTTTTTTTCTTCCTTCAGCACATTTATATTGTACCACGAATTGAGAACTGCTGCTGCCCTTCACACTAAAGAAGACTGCATAACTGGCACAATACCACCACATGACATCATCACGCCAGGAAAAAGGGACTTGACATCGCTGTCAGAGCGGCAGTGTCAAAGCCTTCACCGAATGCGCTTCCTCCAATCAACGTGTAATATAGACACCAAAACAACATCAGAGATCTCAATCTCATCCGAAATCATTGTTGGCCCGACTGATCCTTTGGCTCGAAGGATCCTGGGGTTGAAGCTGCTTTGCTCAAGCACAAGGACTAAACGGAGCCAACTGGTTGGACGAACGGCACCAAAACCCCTCGTTTGGTCCCCGTTTGTCCAAACGCACCAGAATTCATTACAAACGCCGATGTACACCCGCATGCTTCTCACTTTGCCCGAACATGCATGCAGCTGCATTGCAGGAGGGCGAGAGCGCTCATTTTTCCTTCCCCCCCCCGTCTCGATCCCTTAAGTGTGGCTCTTAGAGGCCCCAGTACGGAGCCAGGCTCCTGCGGTCCCTCTCGTAAACATCGGGCACGACCCCGTAAGGCGTCTGCACCATCTTAACAGAGTTCCGACCAAACAGCTCCTCTCGTACTCGATGAGCTGGCGCCAGAAGCCCCCGTTGGGCCTGATGACGGGGCGCCGGGCCTTGACCCAGGCGTGGGCCTCGGCCAGAGACACGCGGTGGTACTTCATGAGGTACGCCAGGCACAGCGAGGCCGAGCGGCTCACCCCCGCCGCGCAGTGAACCAGCACGGCGCCCCGCTTTCGCCCCACGCTGTGGATCTTGTCGGCCACGCTGTCGAAGTACAGGGAGAGGGGGGAGTGCGGCATGTCGGCCAGCGGGACCTTCACGTACTCCATGTGGGGCCAGTTGAAGTTGGGGAGCTCGATGGTGGCGTTGACCACACAGGTGATGCCTTTAGAAAGCAGCAGGCTGCGGTTGGATGCCACGTTCCCTCTGCTGAGGAAGAGGTTGGGGGTGATCTGCGCAATTCCCCCCAGCAGGCTGCTGTTCTCGGGGAGTAGCCTCGGCACCATGGTGGGCACCATGGCGCTACGATGGTGGTGGTGTTGGAAGAAGCCATGGCTGCGGGAACCCATCGAAGAATCAAGTGGGTTTCAAATTATTTTTCAAGTTAAATCTTCAGGAACTCAGAGTCATAGTAGTGCAGCCTTCCAAACAGATCCTGTAACACACAAACAGATTCCCTCCTGAGTCCAAATTCAACGTTTTCAAAGCAGTCAAACGTACGACATTCATTCAAACATTCATTTTTTGTGGCTTGCATTGTGCTGACAGTTGTTTCTAGGAATCGTTTCGCTGCAAAAAATACACAAAAGTTCACCAATTAACGGGAATGCTGTGACGTGTTGATCGGCAGAGATCTCTGCTGTGGGATTCTTCACATTCAGGTTGAATGGCCTCCTGGCAACACACCGACAAGCCTCCACCCTGCAGGCGTGCGTTCACCTCATCTCATGTTCATCCATCCACAGCCCTCACATACATATTATATTTCTCCTCTCTTCGGCCGTCATTCCGTTGATGTCATTTTGGCACCAAACGGAAAGTTTCCATAAGAAACACAATCTAGGCAAAATGTTCTGATAAAACACGTCCTTCATGCATCACATTTACAACTGCAATGCAACTGGAACTGCTTTTTTTCCTGCAAAAAAAAAAAAAAAAAAGGTCTTTTTTATGAGCTGGTGAAAAAGAAGATCTTATATGAACCGTAACAACATTTCTGTCTGCACTGCATATGATAGAAACACCCTCCTGTGTGAATACTTCTGCCATCAGCAGAGGACGCACAGCTCCGGGCGCTACTTCACACGCTGTTGCACTTGCCGTGCGTCATCCACACCTTGTGCACCGGTCTGGCTGGCGGGGTATTTTTCTCAAAATCTTCTGCTGCAGTCTGGTTAACAAGACGCACGGGTCAACTGCTTTAAACTGGAACTCAACCTGCAGAGAAAACAACCACCACCTGATCACCTGTGAACGGAACGCCAACGCGGTTTGGGATTCATAAATTGTAGCTGAAAACCGGAGCGGAACGACGTGGATTTAAATACATCTGCGTTACAGTGACATTGTGCCCGTTGCTTTGCTAACCAATGCTACTTAATCCTTTCAATCAGTTGGTCCCAAGCATCAGGTCAACTGTGTATTATTTAGCAGGATAGATGTCAAAGTCAAGTATTTGCGAAAGAGTTGTAGATTTTTCCACAATTTGGAATTGTTTGTTTCAAATTCATTATGAAATAACTTTGCCTCCATGTGCATCTATCATTAACATCTTCAGATAAAGTTTGGTTAAAATGGTTAACCCTCATCACCAGAAGGTTTTGAGCTTCATCGTCACCTTCGTCGGCTCCCTCTGAAGCTCCGTTGCCTCAGCATGTTCGGTTCCTCTTTCAGAAAAACAAGAATCAAAGGGCTCAAACAACAACCCCCCCACCGTGTCTCCCTATTGCCAATTACTTTGCCTCTGTACACCGTCGCCAATGGTGATGACACAACAAACCAGTGGGGAAAAAAGTGTGACCATCAAAGTGAGCACATCAGGAGGCCGTCAGAGAAGCACAACATAATAAAAGGTCCTGCGGAAGCCTTTTAATTGGCAACTCCCTTGAGATTTTGAGTAAAATACATAATATTTGTCCTTAACCAAGCAAATGACCAATGGATTAATCTGTAGAATCAAGTTAGTTTATTAAATGTTTATAGCAGCACAAAACAGAACAAAATTCAATAAACTAAAATTGAAATAGTAAAATACACAATTGGCATTGGTTGTATGATGTTAGACATGGGTTCATCTTACTCCAATAAATCGGTCAATCAATCAATTTGATTTAAAAAGGGGAACCGATGTCCTGCATACACCTTTTGTTTCAGAGGGTTGGTGCCACAGTTTGAGGAGATGGATGAGATGTACAGCATCAGCTGACATGGGTACAAACTCTGTCCTTACGAAGAAGACAAGGGAACAAAAAAATCCCCGTCCCTCCCCAAAGTGCTGATGAAGACCGGGGCTGTGCTGACATTTGCTCCATCCGCAGGGTTATTAATACGACACGTGCAAGGCCTGGTGGAGCTGCAGAGAGTGGAATGAGGGAGAATTATGCAAAGAGAACAATTTACTGTGATCTTGTAGATAGTGAGGATACTGCGGCCGGCTGTCAATCAAATACTGAGGGTGAGGGGAGGGGGGGGGGGAAGTGGCACTCGGAGGACAGCAAAGAGAGGGACACTGTTTCCCAAATCAAAGCACCAAGTCCTCTTGTTTGTTGATTACAACAGAAACCCGACTATCAATCATTCAAAGGTGAACTAGGCGGCTTCACCCCACAAAATTCTATTGCACATCTCCGTCACTCTAACTGTGTGCAGTGTGAGGGGGCGAGGATTCCTCGAGGAGGGAAACCTGACCCACCTGCAGGTAAACTAGAGAAGCAAAAACCTGATGGCAACCTCGCCCTCCCGACTCCTTTCGGAAAAAAACCCCACCAACGCCAACGGGATTCTTTGCTGACGCTCCTCACGCAGCAGGCGAGGGTGCTCAAGTACCTGCAGCCCTCAACTCTCCATCTAATGCAACCCGTCCCTTCGGTCAGGGGGACCTCCTGAACGGTCTGATAATTGTCAGTAGCAAAAGGTGGACAAGGTAGCAAAAGTTGACTGCAAAGGGACAAAGTCCTCTTGAGGAACGGGTTCGACTTTGGGTTCAGCTCATCAAAACCACAACGCTGCACCTCGGACACCAACACAACAGCCTGAGACGTGGGCCCAGATGTTACGTTGTGAGATGGCCAGCGTGCAAATATAGTACAAAAGCATTAAACATGGTGGCTGAACCGCTGTTGACAGACACATTACCGAATGAAGCATCGTATGGAGCCGTAGAAGGTTTTTGAGAGGGACAATTGCATCCATCATTACGTCAGATGGATAAAACCGATAAATCCAGTGATGTTTAAACAATAACTGTTTGAATTGAATAGACCGATTACCAACGACTGGCGCTACAAGCAATAACACATTAAAACAGAGCTGAAACCATTTTAAAATGAATCTGCAACAAAACCCATTAAATATTTTCCTAGAAACTGTACAGAGTGCCGGGGGAATAACAGGTAAATATCACTGGAACCACAGTGATGAAATCATAAACTCCAGCTTTCTTCAATGTATAATTTGCTCCTTTGGCTTTGACATCTTTACATTTGGACTTTTACATCTTGAGCCCTGACAAATTCAAACGACTCTTGAATAGACGAATAAACAATGAATTAAGGGTAAAACCAGCACATTATTCTACAGCTCAAATAGTTGCCCTTTAGAGCGTAAAGTGGACATAAAGACATCTTCCTCTGGGAAATAAAGGCTATTTATTGTTGCCTTGGACACATTCAAATATTAACTCGGACAATACAAAAACTGTCTAATTGTAAAAGGAAGTGCGGGACCACTGCGTGTAAACGTGTGGAGCTTTAGGCGAATGATTCCGAGAGGTTTATTATTAGAGATTACAGATGTGAACCGGACCGCTCCTCCGCGCACGCGATGCTCGTCCCCGTGACGCGAATCGATTATTTTAAGTGTAACAATACAAATTGTGGAGTCTTTAGAATCTTTGCTCGAATACGACAAAACTGAGCAACACGTGGCACCACAGAAGTTTCCCCAATTCACCGCGTTTTTACATCAGAAAACTGAACTGGAGGAAAATATATATTGATATAGATGTGAACGGTCTCTTGCCTGCGTCATATTCCGGGATGCCCGCATGTGAGAACCCAACTTACCAGAGGACCCTCCGTCGGATGGAGGTTAGTGGAGCGTCTTCCCCGCCTGCAGCGATCCGCCGAGCTGATCTCACACCGCGGACACGTACGGTCCGGCGGGAGGGAGAGAGGACGGGTAGAAGCAGACGCTCAACGAACATAGTGCGAAAGTCATCAGAAACAAGAGCCGCCGGGACGCCCGCCTGCTTTCACACTGACAGCAGCGTGCGTGCGTATGAGGAGTGATCCGTGCCGCGCTGACGCGCCAGAGGAGGGAGGGACGTTCATGAAGAGAAGCTGCATGCAGATTCGAGGCGGGGCCCCGTTCAAATACCCGCAGGTTGCACATCAAGCTCGGTTTACACTCATCAGAAATGAATATTGTAGTTGTTACGTTTATCTGCCCGCTTCAGCTGCGCCCATTTCTCACTTTATTGAAGAAGATGATTTTTTATATTTAAAACTTGAAAAAGAAAATTTAAAATTTGAATTTAAATCTGCTCCAGCTCCACCAGCTGCAACATTAAATGGCTGTTTACATTTTGAAAGAATCAGGAATAATATTATTTATTTAAAAATACAACTTCGTAATATACAACTCTGACAAGAACTACATTACTCCAATTTACACTACGTGCATTTAGCTTAATACATTTGTACATGAAACCTTGAACCCTGAATGCATGAGAACGCACAAAATCTCTGTACCGACACAATGGAAAAGGGCGATCATCACACGTGTGAAAAGAAACCCTTTCGGAGTGTATGTAGAAGATGTAGAAGCAATTAGTGAGCAAATTACATCTGGATGTAGGCCCACAGCTGGATCCCAACCGGTTTGCATGCACACTGCAAAGAGTCACTGATGATGCAACCAAAAGTACAATGCACGTAGTGACTAAACACCGTGAGAACCCGAGGGCCTATGCAAGACTGTTTCACCAGTCACCATTCACCAGTTCCTGTTCACCCTGTACACTAATGAATGTACAGGCAGTACTAACAATTACATGATACGGTTTTCTAATGATAGCCATCCTGGGTCTCAGGGCTGATACATCAGAAACAGCTACAAACGCAAGATCAACGAACAAACCGTCACGGAGTGTTCAGGTCTTTTGTTTTTCCGGTTTCCGGAACAAATTCCTTTGGGGTCAATGATGTCTGTCTATCTGCCAATCTGTGATTATGTTCAATTAAATCTTTACTTGTGGTTAAGTCAAGGCCTTTTCTTCCAATAATCTGCAGCCTTTTATTGAGGCAATACAATGCTTACAACAAATATCAGTTGACAGGTGCACATGTTATGTCAATAGACCTCAACATTTTAAGTGTCCTTAATAATGTGGCCATGCTTTTTTTTTAGTATGGAGAAAAGTAAATCACATTATTAGACTAATCAATGTGTGGACTGTTACCTTAAACAAAGGTACTTCTTTACCTTTGTTTGAAATGGGATCACGTCAGCCTAAGTGGCCAAGGTTCCCCTTCCTGCCCTTCCTACCCCAGCAAAGCCTGGACGTATGCGATCATGTTGCAGGTCTTAAACTTATATAACCCTGAGAGAAACCCAGAGTTGGAGATGCAATAAACCGTGTTGGATCGCACCCATAATTGGCAATATGTTTGCATTTCAGTTGTTATCGCTTCAAACACACTTAAATTACCAATTTAAATGTTGCCCTGAACGTCGGCTACAGGCGGGGATGTAAAACCTACACAGTGCCTGTTGTATGGGTGGGTTATTTCATGTCTCATTATGCCCTGCCTTGGAGGAAACAGCTTGATATCCCTGCAGACCTCAACACTCAGAGACCTTTCCCCCATCTGCACGCCCACAGTTGGAGACCTTCAAGTAGCTGAGCTGTGTGTGCGGCCCTTTGCGTGTATATCCGTGTACAAACTATAATCAGACGTGCCTTCCAGAGTCAATCCCCTTTCAAAGAGCTCATGCGGGAGAAATTACACTATCCATAAACACGTGGCCTCCGCTGAAGAGTCTCTCCTAATTACACTGCAAATTCTATCAACTGGAAACAAACAGCCTCAGCAGCAAGCGGTGCAAACTGCTGCAAAGGTGTATTGACCACGTACTTAGAAATGCTAGGAAACCGAGATCTATATGGGGAAATGGTGAAAAAACAAAAAATAATAATCCTAGTCAAGAATCAGAAACCTTGAATTTGAACAGTGAAATGTGAGCAAAAGATCAATAAGATGGATGGAGGGATAAGATTGGGAAAGATAGAGCTGCGGGGCTGGAGACACGACGACTGGGGTTCAGAGGGAAATGTCAGATGAGTCAGAGGCCTTCTGGAAAGACGCTGCTGTTTAATATGGCCGCCAAGGAGGCCGGACATTTACAATGACGCCGTCCCCGTAATAACAAGCACCTGCAGCCACGTTCTGAAAGAGGTGTCTGCCCCGAATGAAGCGGGCGGGGACATTGATTATCTCTGACTGCCTGTTCCTCGGGGGAACCGATGGGCTCGACTGTGCAGACGTGGGATGTAACGTAAAAATCCTTTGCACATCTTTCATACATACAGACGCAAATAACCAGTGCAGTTCAGTTTGGGAATTTTCTCAGAGGCAGCAGAGATCCTCACAGTAAACTGTGACAACAACAATCCCATTCAGGATGCCTGAGAAATAAAAAATTGAGGTAGAATGCCGAACATGACGGCAAGCACACGGCAGAAAAACACGTGGCATCTGGAAATATTAATCTATAAGAGTCCAGATGAGCAGCAGCAAGTGGGCTGACGATGATCCCTGACCGAGGAACCCAAAGACACACAGTAAATGTCCAAGAGGATACCGGCTAGAGACGTTGGTTTCAGTCCGGTGTGTAAGATGACGGGAATGGAAAGTGCTCTCTGGTCAGCAGCGGTGGTGGAGATGCTAAGACATGCGAGCAGGAGGGAGGAGGGAGGCTTCGTGATGGGTCTAAATAAAGTTGCTGCTGATCCCACTGGTGGCCCTTTGGCTGCGGCCGTGACGCTGGTAAATAGACAAGTGTTTGCTGTGGCAACATGGGCGAGCAGCGAGGTGGTCTCCCGTCGCTCTGATCAGTGACGCTGACACATCAAAGACACATTTGCTGCTTTGCAAAAAAAAGGAACGAGACCCGAGGCGCCTCTATCTCACACACACACACACACACACACACACGTGCGCACACTGTTACCAGTCACATCCACGGAGGGCACATGAGTGGAGGTATCTTTCCCCGATGTAATGTCTCATTGAGTGCTGAATGGCTCGCATCTATTGGCTCTCTGTCTTCCATGTTAGTGAGCCAGTGAGAAAAAGCACGTACTCAGAAGGGTGGGGAGGGAGGTGTGAGGGGGGAGTCGGGAGGGGAGGGGGGGGGTCTCTGGTTAGTCACGACTCCTCCGCCCAGCAAATGAACATGAGCAACAGGGCGAATGTCCGTCCCCTGCCTCCCTCCTCTTCATCGCCGCTCCTGTACTGCAGCATGGCGCTGACCCGGTTGCCAAGGTAACCTCTGCTGTTGATTGGTTCACTGCTACCTAGTAATAAAGGCAAATTAGGAAGGGCAGGCAGGTCGTGTAGTGTTTGCCATTTTCAAAGTGGGTCACAACAACACAGAGCAAAAATGTGGGAGACATAAGTTGCAAAAAAAAAAATATCGCCAACAGAGGAGCATTTTGGAGATGTTGCCTTTTGTCTTTCATTTCTAAAAACATGCATATTTTCACTGATTCTGATTAAAACTAAATTTCTATCTCAATATTGTAAGCATGCAAATCATTAGATGAATAATTGAGGGCAAATGAACATATCTGGATGGAGATCCATCATTTCCACTGGATTTGCTGGCTTTCATTCTGCTCAGTGTGGAAATCCTGATAAATTTATCTGATAATCTTTTTTTTGTGGACACATAAAACCCCACAAACAGTAACACAAGGACAAATGAAAAAATATCATATCCTCATTACAAAAACAAGCGTTTGAGTCTTGAGTGTGTGATGTTTATATGAGAGACACCAGTTGCTTCTGAAAAGAAGCACCGACTCGCTTGCTCAGCAGGAGGCACGAAGGGAAGACGGCGTCTGAGGAGGAGTCTGTGTGGGCGCGTTGAGAAACGTCGCCTTTGAGCGCACACGCAGAACAGGGACACGAACATCTGCACGCCACCACAGCACAGACTCTACTGTGGCACGAGCCGTGCTGCGACACGGCTGAGACAAGTGAGGAGCCTGAAGACATTCCACACGGTGAATAAATGTCAGTGCAGTGGAAAAAAAGGCCCTTTAACTTGTGACTGGATCATCTTTTATTTTACTGCTGTGAAAAATGTCTCCAGTCTTCAGCCTTCACATGCACAACCCTGTTCTTTAGTCACAAACGTCTAAACGTAACGGTCTGCTCAGCTTGGCTCTCGCAGCTGCAGGAGCAGAACTCAATGAAGCAAAGCCTATACAGACCAGTCCCAATATGCATGCAATCATCCAAATACAACCAAAACAAATACAAGAGCTGTGAGACATTTCATTTCTACTAAACATTCTGCAAGGATAAAAAAATAAAAAAAAGTATTATCAAGAACAACGGTAGAGTAAAGCGGGGCTTAATTACCTCTGATTAAGTAGCAAGTGTGATTGGTCAAATGCAACATGACAAACTAATCCACAGCCATGTGTGAAGGTCATTGAGCTCAGTCGCAATTAGGTACTGTGCAAACTATGTGTTTAGTTTTATGGCAACCAAAATGTACCGTAAAATGTTCTTATCATTTTAGTCCTGTTGCCAGAGTTCGACCCTTCAAGCTGTGTTCTAACTTTTCAGTGTATCTTTCAAGCGGTATATATTGCAATTTTCGTAACTCTGCGGCGGCTTTATTGTCAGTGATATGGTCGAGTTCTCAGTGACATTTATTAATCTGCTTAAAACAAAGACAGAACCCGAACTGCCGCTATTTTGTGGCCATAAGAACACAAGCGTTAAAAGGAAAATAAAAAACGTTCGAGGGGAGAGATCAAAGCCTGGGCTGTTGAGGCTTGTTGGAACTAAGCCTCTCGTTAAGTGGAACATGAGGAAACTGGCATCCTGTGAAATGAGCAGAAGGGAAAGGTGTAATTCAACGCGTTTGTTATGGATCAATAACTTGGCATCGAAAAAAAACCCTGGAAATTTCTTATCCTCTACAACCTCTTCAATCAAGATCCTATCCCGGCATTTCAGCATCTTGGCTCAGCGTCCTGACGGTGTGTCATCATGGAGGTTTGGGATCTGGCGTTATAATCAGGCTGTTAGCTTAGGTGGATGCGGCGGCTGCTCCCTGCTCCTCCTGCCAGCGTCGGATTCATCACAGACCTCCATCGTCACATCGTGCACAGATGGAGACGCGGAGGATAGAGTCCGCGATGCCAATGAGTGTCTATCACCGTGTTGACAAAACCGTCAGCGCAGCAACGATGGGGCTGAATTGTGCGACTCTACAATGAGATTTACAGTATAGATTTGACTTAATCTGTAATTCTGTAGAGGCCATTCACAGGCAGGAAAACATAACGCATTACCTCATACTACTCGTTATTCACTTCCAAACCAGTTCACTTCCAACAGTGTTGGACTGGTGTCGAGACCGATCAATACCCGTCGCCTCTACCGCTGGCGTGAATCAGCTACTTTCTTTTTTGCAATTTTACTTTAGGAGGTTAATGTTTTAAGGGATTTCTTAAAATAACTGTTTGTCTTGAGAAATGACAAAGGTATATATTGTTACAGGAGTTAAAGAACTTCTTGATAAAATGTTCCAGTAAATGTATTACTGAAACCTTATACGTTTGCATGCAAAAAATGTTCATAATTGGAATGAATTAATTAGAAAGGAACCAGGTTTTGCCAAGTCTTGTAATTAGTACAAGACTGGATCTGTTTGGCCTGTATTATCTGACATGTATCAGCATGTCAAATATCAGCATCAACATTTTATGACAGGAGAAATAAATACATCCTCATTTAGCACGAGTCCCTGTTGTTCTGAGTTCTATAGGATTTGCCATTTTATTACATTAGACTCATAAAACATGAACAAACCTTACAAATGTTACAAAATGAACAACAACAACAAGCAGAACCGCTAACATGACAAAGGCTTACAAAGTTACAAGATTAGATAACACGAACCACTAACCACCGCCCGTTCTCCTTTGTGCTCATAGAGAGGTTTCTAGGCCTTAGTGATGTAGCCCTCCTTGATCAGGAAATCATAGATTTTGCGTGTTTTGTTGACGTCGATCTTGATAAGCGACCTGGCCTGAGCCAGCCGCAGCCCGCCCTGTCGCCTGCACTCGTTCAGCAGCGCCTGCTTGTATTCCAGGTAGGCCCCCGGCACCAGGCGCACAACCTGGCATAGCTGCAAGCACAAAACAAGCACCGGGGAGTAAGACACGTCGCCTTATTCTCGCCTCGGTGGGCTTCAAAGAAAATGCTCCTCAATCCAACTACGTCTGAATCGTTCTGCGGCGGCGTGGAAGGGTTGGTCTGTCCGCCCGAAATCTAAACAGCTATTCAATTGATGTCATAGGAGGAATCAACACGACTTGTGGTGAGCCTCTGACTTCATTTCATTAGCGCCAAGTAAAGGTAAAAAAAAACCATGGACAATTTATAACCATTTATCCAGCTGCACTTAACAGGGTTTTACCTTAAATGCATTGGGGTAAGATTCTTGCCTCAAGTACAAACCAGTTTGCCTTTAGAAGTATTTTTGGCAACATATGAAGCATTCATGCATACGTGAAGTGGTTCTGCGCGGCGCTCTGAGAGCAGATAAAGGGGAGTCGTACCTCTTTCTCGCGCTCGTTGAGTTTCTCTGTCCCCGGCAGCCCGGTCAGATTGAGCGGAGGGGCGCTGCGCCTACCTGTTGCTGTGGAGCAGAAATTCAACAACAGTCAAACGGACATTCGGCGCACGCCGGCGTTGATCTGCACTTCAAGTAACACCACAGCGGACCGACAACATGCAGCTCCATCCTCTGCTTGGAGGAAACAGAGGACCAAATATCTACAGCGAGTACATTGTGCAGCGTACTTCCTGTTCGTGCTCCAGTGGCGAGGGAAAGGCAGCTCGTTTAAAAAGGGGAAACTGCAGGATAAATATGAACGTTGGGGCCTATTTTTAAAAATGTATTCACGGAGGAGCATCAGCATTAAAGTGACTGTGCCAGGGGCCGCGTGGAGAGAAGCAGCGTACCTGACACGGTGATCGTCGTGACAGCCGGAGTGATGCCGGAATCTCTGTAATCACAAAGTGAAAGTCAAGCGTTGGCGTCTTATTCACGCACACACGAACCCCCCCCCCTCCCTCCCTTTCTGGGCTTTGTTCGCTGTTCTGTTCACTCACTTGGAACATCATCCAGAAAAACATGAATCATCGCATACAAGATGCTTTGAGGTGGAATAATTAGAGGAAGTTGGTGACTATCCAAAGACAAACGCATCATTAAAAAGAATAAAAATACCAATGAGACTGGAGGTTTAAGGAGGATGCACGGCAACATAAACGCCTGCTCCATTAGTCTCTGAGCGGCTGTGTGTGTGCGATGACGCAGGTTGGCGTCTCGGAGGAGTGCGTCTACCACACCCTGGACACCGAGCCCAAAGTCTCACATTGCAGCCTGTTTGCTGAGCCACTGCTGGCAGGCTCGGCCGTCCTGGATGTACTGCAGCACGTCACACAACATGGTCCGCTTCCGCCGCTCCTCCTCCCGCAGCCGCTTCACACGCTCGTACACTTTGGCACCTGAGAGTTGGTCACACACACACACAGAGAGGTCAGCACAGACGCACACGTGGCCTTGGGGTGGCGAATGATACTCAGAGAGCGATGACGGGATAGTTTCCAGGTGAGGGGGCTCGGTTTTAATGATTTAGAATGGCTCAATTTGCTGAAATCATACATCACGTAAATGGAAATATTCAAGTTTTAATAATTCTGTCAGCAACTCTCTGATCTCATTCCATGTGTAGCTGATATGACACCTCACTAAAAGAGTTCTTTAGTGGGCCATGCATACATAAACCCCAAATGACTCAAAGACCCATTTCACTGCTGCAACGCTGCATATTTTTCTTGCTTATGCATGAAACTTTTTAAATGTAGTTTTGTTGAACAAAGGAATAAAAAAAGGTCAAAGCAAACTCACTGCAGAAAGATTTGATCCCGGCCTTTCTGTACTCCTGCAGCCTGCGGATCTCTCTCCTAAGCTCAAACTCCACTGAAAAGGAAAAAAAAGGGAACAGCGTCTGACAAAGACCGCTAACAAAAAAGCTTCACGAGTTCATACAAGTTCCAATCAATCAATACTCACATGGCAGAGTGTGCATGTTGTTGGCGATACGGACAAATTGAAAAGGTCAATATGCTTTTCCACTAACTGGAGCAGCTGGTTAGCTTAGCTCAGCACAAAGTCTGGAAACAATGGTAACCCTCAATTTAAACAACTCTTGCTAGACGGTTATGGTAAGACGTGGAGGTTAGGACATTTAATTGGGCAGTGAGTCTCACATTTTTGCAAATGTAGTTCGTTTTTTGTTTGCAGGGAGCGGAAAAGCTTTAAAGAAACCCACTGTGCACTACGTCCTTGGCACCAAACCACAAAGCGACACAGCTAGAGACGAGCTGGGGGACACCGAGGAGCATTTAGCAGATAAAGACCCAGATATTTCCCTCAGGAGCTGGTAGAGACCAGGGGATATTGACTTTCATATATAAAAAGCTGGAAACAGAAACAAAGCCTCGACCTGTTTTCGCAGCCCCCAAGTGGTTAAATAAAAGAAAATGATTGCAGTTTTACACCGTATTTCAAAATGCCTAAATGGGAAAGCAACCATTGGCTGTTATGCAATGTTAAGCTAATCAGCTGCTGGCTAAAGCCTGATATTTACTAGACAGATAAAGAGCGGTATCAATGCTACCAGAATATATATAAAACAAACTTTCACTTAAATCTGAATGAATTTGTTGAGTGACATCATTGTTTAACAAGTGTGTTGTGTGGCACTTTCAACCGTTATCAAAACTCCAAATGGAAGAATAACTTGTTAAACAGATGGAGAATCTACAACTAGCTGATCTGGTCATACTGGAAAAAAACCCTCACAAGTTAATACAGTTCATGTTGGTTGTCCCTTTCATGTTCAACCCATTTGTACATTCAAATACACAGTGATGGGAAGAAAAAGGGTCACTTTGGAAAAAACGATGTTTCGATTGATTGTGTGTTTGTGACCCTCAGTCTATCCACGAGCACTGAGCCGGATACTGACGTGCGTGACTTTCGATGAATTTATCATGTTCAATCGGTCCAGCCACTCTGGCAAATCGTCTCATGACATCATACAGCTCCTGCACCTCCTTTGGGTAACATCGCTCCAGCACTGAGGGAGAGAAGGAGGGGAGAAGTGAGCGGGCCGAAGATACAAACAAATATAACAGGAAATTTGAACAAATAATCCGAACACCAACACACCAAAGCCTGATGGGATTTTTTTGTGCATTTGGGGAAGTTCAGTAACTTTGTTTATTTTATTTTGCCTGACTTTCCACATACTTCATCAGCAACTCAAATTCAAGACTAGGTTGAAATGCCTGTGAATAATACTTAACTAGTATTTTCAAAGTAAGAGTCATTTATAGTAATAGTACTATTTTGAAACTGCCGAGCAGGGATTTTCATAACGGATCGTACGGGTCTATGTTTTATCATTGCACACCAGGCTTTGTAGGAATAACACATCAAGCAGAACGCTTTGAACTCTGATCAAGATGCAGTTTTTAAGCCAGCTATTAGCGTACCAGTCGGCTTTTCAACGGAGAGACTCCCTGATTCCTTGTAAACACATACTTGGTACAATTGGTTTCTAAACTTCTTCTTCTTGAACTGTTATTGTAAAGAATGCAATATCTACTTATCCAACAACAAAACAGTCCCCGAGGTTTCATTTCCAACAGAAGGCATTTCAGTGTATTGTAGTGTGTCAGTCAGAGCCAAGTGTTTTGAATCCAGCTATGTTTTGGATTGATTTTCCCTCCTTTTACAAATACAAAGCCAGCTTTAAGACCACAACAAGAATATGTATCAAGCAACCTAACTGCATTAAAAAGCAATTTGCAACCAACCATTCAGCTCTGCATACACACTCCCTCTCTGAAACGATCGTACTGTTCGTCTCAAAGCATCGCCCGTGTTGCTGAGTAACAGACAAGTGTCACGGCCAGAGAGGACAGCTGTTGTGTGGGTGTGAGAGGACAGGGTGTGTTTGTGTGTGTGTGTGTGTGTGTGTAAGTCAAGTTCCTTCATCGGGCTCTTGCATTCAAGTGCTAATGAGCAGCTGGCATCTCGGGCGAAAAACATGAAGTCATGCTCTTAAACAGAAAACAATGTTGGAGGCACCGATGAGGGACTTGTATGTGACTGCGCACAAACACTAACTGCAAACTGCAAACTGAAGCACACGGACTGGAATTGTTTAATGCAACGAGCCCATGCAGGACATCAGATGGACCGCTGCCCTAAAAACAACAAAGGTGGTCAATCTGCCTGCGGCACTTACTGAGACATGATACCGTCAGCCTCCCGGGCTCGGAAACTGCCTCCATTAATGCATGTGACACACACACACACACACACACACACACACACACACACACACACACACACACACACACACACACACACACACACACACACACACACACACCAATGTACACAAGGTACGGCCACACGGTCTTTGACAGTCTCCATGACAACCAGTCTGCAGCTCTACAGCTACTCAGAGTTCCCTTTTGTCTTGAAAGTCTGCAGAGATAAGGGGATGGAGGGAGGAAACGAGGGAGGAGGTCTAACCGGAGGCTGGCGGGAGCATAAATAAAACATGAGGGGAAGAGGACTGCAGGACTTGCAAACAACAGACAATTTCGCTGAGCAACAAGTGGAGATGTAACGACGGGCGGTGGGGTTGTAACTGGTTAAAAAGAAAAATACATAACATCGCTCGCCTTCTCTCTGACCTCTGGTGCAAAGAGCCCAAAAGATGCAAAGAATTACATTACTGAGCCAGCAGCTCAAAGCCAGCCTTTTGAAACGTGGATCGATAAAAAGCCCCCTGCCCTTCATTCATTACGGCAGCAGTGCTCACCGCACAAGGGTCTTTTCTTAGAGAGGCAATCACGCAGAGGCACACCGGCAAAAACAGACAATTTGCAGCCTCGATCGTAAATACGAACTCCATCAGTTGCCACATTTAAGCTCCCGGAGGGACCGTGGAGGTCAACGGTTGTTGTTACGCTGCAGTTGTTTTGCATCATGCATCCATAGAAACCCCAAGCAGCGATCTGGCTGCTGGATATCAGATGCCTCACTGAGTTGCAAAGAACACGGCCACGAAACAAGCCAGTGCGAGCCAGCGAGTGAGTACTTACTCTGGAACTTCCGCAGGTTGATCAATCCGTGGTCTCGGATGACCCTGAGGGAAATCGAGATGTCATTTTTAATTTGAATTGCCGTTTCTATGACATTAAAACGTGGCATTCAGCCATATGGAATAATCTATAAAGTCATTGTGACATGATAAATACAGCTGTCTTTTCCATAAGAGGAAAGAACAAGGAAACACAACAGAGGGAAAAGAGCCAAAGAGAGCGAAACATGAGCCGGCAAAACGCCATCAATATTCAGAAGAATATGTTTAAATGGGATTTACATTTGCGAGTAGTGAAAACCTATGCCAATGAAGTACACTCATTGGGTAAACTTGGCAATACCTTTTGTAACCTTATACAGTCTCTTGATAATAATCTGCCTTCATGAAGGAGAGCTGTTGATCCCATTAAACTGTGCGCTCATTTGGAAGGATTGTTAGAATCGTTTAGTGTGACATTATTGTTTCTCTGAAATCCAAAACACAAAATGTTCAACATACCTATTCTGGGGCTTTTAAACATTTTCCCCATTCCCAAAATGATTCAGACTTTGAATAGAAGTAAACCTACGTGCCTTACATTAACCATTTTTCCATGCTGCGCTTCTGCCATCATAATGAACAGCAGTGTCATGAGACCTCTCTGCATGCCATGAATGACCTGAAGCTTGAAATCAGAGCTTTAAAAAAAAAAAGGCTTAAATATGCAATTAGAATCACGCTGCTGAACAATTCCAGTCTCCCAGGACTCGCATCTTTAAAGTGCTTATAACAAAAATAACAGTTTAGGAATTAGAACTATATTAGCATTTCATTTGAAATCATTAATAATAAAAAGGCACAGATAGTGGTTCAAAATTCTTTGGCTTGTACATTTGTATTTAGTAGGAAATGCATTTATTCAGCCTGAAAGCAGAAAAAAACTGAAGGAAAAGAGGCTTCATAAGTGCAACGTAGAAGCTTGAAGTGCCATCTACTGACAGACAGGCGTCATCACAACGTCCCAAATACACCCAATGCCCATTATGTGTCATTTAATGAAGAAAGAAAATGACCTACTTTTTCCTTCGCTGTCTCTCTTTTAGTCTTGAATGATAAATATCAACAACTGAAAGCTTGAGTGCTGAAAGAGAAGAATATACAGTAAAAGTAAAGTATATAATTCAAATCAATTCACCATTTTTTTTTAGATTTTACAAACCACGTAGAATGTCCGAATCATCGTCCACAAAGTCGATGTCTTTCAAATCCCACTCTGCATAGTTGTCAAACTCCTAAAAGACCGTTAAAACATGAATGTACATCATCTGGTTTGAATTTTTTTTTTAGATTTGAAAACAATTTATGAATGAAATAAAACGCTGGGAGATGACAATAAGAGCATGAGTCACGGTTTCAATATCATGAAGTCATTTGTAGTTTTTATTCATGTTGACAGGCTGTATTATTAGCACGTAGATGATGAAGTACAGACACATGCATCCCCTCACCTCCATGAAGTCTGCTCTAGCAGGCATGTATCCAGCCATGTCTCGAGACAACACAGAGTCGAACGTAGGCCGCGGAGGATCATCAGTGGCTGTAAAAGCACAGCTATGCAGTTAATGCACATCAAGGTGCTTTTGTGTCGTGTATGACAACAGGAAATCTGCCTCCAGTAAACTCCTTCCAAGACCTTGATTTCTGACTACGTACAGCAGTCATAAGACTAAATGAACTCTCACAGTGCAATGTTGTTCGAGCTCTCAAACGTTGGTGGGAGATGGAGACCTTGAGACTTCTACAAAGTTCCGTAGTATCCTTAACGGGCATACTAAGTTACTAACTATAAATCCTCCTTTGGAAGCCCATAAGCGATGCCACGATCATTTGCAAGACCTATTCCGATTATAATTTCACATTAAGGCATACAGATGTGTAACGGCAACACATAACTAAACCAACAAATATTGAACATCTGTTATTATTCTTGCTTTGATGCAAGTGAAAGACAAGAACAAAGAAGGAAGACAATACGCACTTACGTTTGAAAGGAATAGCACCCTCTGCAAAGCGGGAGTCTTTTGTTTTCCGGAGGCTGAGCAAGGTGGAGGAGAACAGCGGGTTATGGATGAAATTCTTCATATAGTGGCTCTCGCATTCCTCCTTGGTTTTGGTGCGCATCTGATATGCCACATCCTGCCTGCAGGAGACAAATGTCACAAATAAAAACTCAGAGAAATACGTCAAGACCGCTAAATCCTTGTTTGAAATGAAAGCTCAACAGATTTATTGTAATTGCAAAGTATTTGTTCAAAGAACAAGTTCATGACACAACGTCTTAAAGCGTTGTCACAAGTGAGTTTCCAGTAAGGAGCAGCTGACTGACTAAATTGACAAAATTCATATTTTGGCCTAGAAGTTTCTCCACAGTGGGGCTTTACCTCTTTACCTATTTTATCACGTGGTGTTAAACAATATGCAAGTGGTTGTCTTTATATGGAGAAATGTTTCACATTCCATCAAACAACTAATAACATTGAGTTCAGGTCCTCTACAGATTTCATTGTAATAAAATAATATGAAGGAGAGACGTGCCATTCAGACAGGCATCGGCTGTTAGGTAAAGATCTCAACAAGCCGCTACCTTGCGATCAACACGTCGATGATTGACCAAGAAACTGACTAACAAGCTACAGGTGACAAAGCACCCACCAGTTTCCAAAGCCGCAGTCCATGACGGCTTCCAACAGGGCCATCTCTTCCAGGGCCGTCCACCCAGGCTCCAGCACGGGGAAATCTGATGTCTGTATCGGGAGTAGAGTGTGGATATATATATATATATATATGTGTGTATACACAGTGAGAGCGCGGTCAGTGTCTAGCTGGGAGAAACATTTTTATTTATTTCACTCACCATGATTTCATATTTGTGATCACTCTCGTGCTGCTTGTATTCAAATCCTCTGGTAAAACACTGAAAAAAAACAAAAAAACATTTTATTTCAGGCCATGAATAACCAAGAGCCATAATGCCACATGCTTATGGTCGATAAGGGCTCACCTGGAGGCAGAGTAGAAAGGGAGAAGGTCCACATTCTGCACACTTGATGTAGGGCTCAGATAGAGAAGATGAGCAACCTTTGCACGGTGGTTTATCAAAAGGATCATCTGAAACGAACAGGATTAATCGTTAATCACTGCCAACTAAAAAGAAGAGCATTTGCTATGATGAGAAAGTGATCACTTGCAAGCTAAAGGCCATTAGTACAAAGTAGGTCAAAGCGAACTAGAGCCGAACGCTTTTCTTCGGCTGTAACTGAACAAATCACCGCATAGGACGGTAACGTTAGCCTTGATGCTAGCTATGCTAACGCTGCTGATAAAGGGACACTAGTTAGGTTTAACTATCTCGGCTTCCCGACCGTTATGTCTGAACGTGATCTCACAGTAAACTCAAACGATATGTTGCTTTAGCAAAAACTGACATGCACTGAAAAGGTAAACATGCTAGCGCTAGCAAAGCTAGCGCTAGCAAAAGCAATGCTAGCTGCAGTGGAGCTGATGGCAGTTATCCAGGAGTAATTTAGGAAAGCAGCGACATGTTTAAAGAAAAGTTGGATATACTTGTCCGTTTATAGCTTGTCTATAATAATTAAATGATCAAAACCTACTCCCAAAAGATTGCAGGCGGTCCATAAGACAACAAATTCTAATACCAAAATAATGTTTGTCTACTTCTTCTTCTTTAGCGTTAAAGGTAGTTGATGACATCAGCGCATTGCTGCCCTCCTCTGGAGGACCGCTCAGTTAATGTGTCACAATCTTAATTTAATCCAATTTCCCATTATTTCACATCTCAGTACCGACCATATTTCAGGTAAAATGTTAAATGGCTTCTCCTTATCTATTCAACCAAATGCAGTTCCCACCATCTATTTTGCCATAATTTACCACAACAAATCAAATTTATTTTTTGTGATACCTACACATGTATTATAAAATAATATGTGGTAGAGAGGTGAACAGTATTTTTATTTACACTCCATTTGGGTAATGAGAACCAAAGAAAGTAATTTATTTAACTGACTTAATGCTGAGCAGCAAACATAATCACTGCAAACAAAACATTGTTTGCTTTGATTTGTCAGACCTATTTTAAGGAATGTCGTACAAGTCTGGATACACAAAATGTTTAAGTTTGTTTTTATTTCAACTCTGATTATCAGATATTTTTATCAATTGGTTTAAGCCTATTCGTGGTATATTTACATTGTTTATAACCCATTTACTACATCTTCATCTTCATTTCTGTCTTTTATTAAAAAATAGAAATCAAAGAAAACAATTAATTATATATATATATAATTAATGATAATGATAATGATAATGATACATATGTGTGTGTGTATATGTGTGTTGGTATTTACATGTCTATGTGAATAATTAGAAAACTAGTTTCAACAATCTATAAATCATTGTCAGTTTAAAGTATACGTTCTGTTCAAATATATTTTTCGGGAAGAACATCACTTATGTAACTTACTACAAATCTAAATCAGCACGTTTCCCTCCACTTTCAACTGCCCAACTCAAATTCCCCAGATTGCTTTTTTCATGATTTATACTGGTATAGGATTAACACTATTTTTTACATCATACGAATTGAACATTGCAGATCCTCTTTTTTTCCGCCCTCAGGCTAAATCCACAATATGCTGTACATGTTTCTTCGCTTTAACAGGCATGTCTTTTGCTATGTTTATGCATAGCATCCTAGTTTTAGAGCACCTAACACACAGTAGTTTGTCTTGACAACATATTCTTTCCAATCATTCTGGAGAAAGCAGTTTGTTGACATAACTTCAGTTGCAGCGTGACCCTTTTTTATCAAATCAGAATCAGAATCAGAAACTTTTATTTGCCAGGTATGGTGGACATACAAGGAAATTGTCATGGTGGGTGGTGCATACATGGAACAAAGGAGATTGGACTCAATGAAATTACTGTAAGACCCTAAATTACAAGATAAGGTGTGCTTTTTTTAATGCTTATGTTCTGCCTTTAAGCATATTAAGGAAAAGTAACCAAAATGACCCCTTGATGATGAACATTTGATATTGAACAGCACATTTTCTTTGAATTCTGTTTATCTTTTTTTTAAAGAGGGGACGGTGGCCTTTCTCCATTCTACCACATGGTGTTGATCTTGCACCATTTCTGTGAAGAAATAAATAAACGCCTCGACAGTCTCTCTTTGTCTTTCTCTGAGCACCTACAACTTCATGAGCCTTGCTCAGGTCAATGTACTGCATGTTAAGTTCAATATTTTTCCCTTCTTAAAACCCACACCAGCAAGGAATAACCATGCATGCAGCTCCCTCTAATGCAGTACATATCTATGATTCCTGATGTGTTCCAGTGCCTTCATGTGACCAGCAATAGACCCTGAATCAAATAGATCTCCTTAAGGACACCCATGCTGACTGCACATCACGGGACCTTGTAAATATAGTATATAAATGCCTTGAAACATCATGTTATGTCTTTATTTTTCATGATTTCAATGAAATTACCGTTTGATTCTAAAATAAAGAAGGAGGAAGAGTGCATCTACTAAATCGCAGATGTTCTTCTTTCCCTTTTTACTCTGGGCCATGTCTTTGAGGAGGATCTACAGTGACAAGTACTTTCAGTGCAGCGTACCCTGCATCCCGTCTCCTGACCCTCTGGGGCTTCCTTGGACCTCTCTGGACCGTCTCAGTCATCCTCCCCCGAGCCACGCGGATCCATGAGTAACCACCAAGCGCCTTCCCAACCGACTGTGCGCTATAAAGGGACGGTTGTAAGTTCCCTCTGGGGGGAATTTTCATCTAACTGCCAGCCGGCGGTTTGTTTAACAATCCTGTGAGCGCGTTATGATTTATTTATCTTGAAAAGAAGAACTTCCCTTTTGTGTTTGACAGTTTCACCCCGAACGACCCATCCGTTAGCTCACAACAACTGTATATTTAAAGATGAAAACGTTAAGAACACCAAACGCTGCACCCATTTGAGATTTATGAACATCTCAGTCTAACACGCAGAAGATTTTACACCCTGGCTTTAGGGATTTGCCCCCATTTGCTCCCTGATGTTGGGAGCCTGGCTCTTCTTTGAATGTTCCATTTTAAACCAATAAAGTTCTTCCACACAGGAAGAAGCTTCATAAAGAAAACCACAAGAACGGGTCTTCACCAAACTGTAGGAAATATGCCATTGTCTGAAATAGCATTGCATTCTGAAGCGTTTAGATTGCCCCGAATTGCAACTGGGTGTCCACTTACTTTTTTGTTATTTGTTATTTACGTTCCCACAGTGTTCTTTGTGGCTTAATACAACGACTACCAACGTGGTGCTCTAGTGTGCTAGTGGTCTAAAACGCATACAACTTCAAGTGACCTTTGTGGAACCCTGGTTCAGATCCGAGGACCAGTCACAATATATGAAAAGGTAAAAATGCCATGTATATAACCGTGAAACAATGGAAGTGGGTGTTTGCGGCAGAATAATTTGCACGAGGACGGAACTGTAGCCTCAATATGAAGTCAATTGAAAAGAAATGTCTTGAAAAGCCAATTTAAAATGTCAGGTTGAGCATATGTGGGAGCATAATGTTTAGAATCATATCTCGGCAGCGAATGCGGGCAGATTCCATTATCCACATGGAGACTAACAAAGAAAATAATGTCAGCCTGACAGAGGGACGTGTGTGTGCGGCCCCTGCTTCAACATCACCGCCTGTGGGCAAGCAACCTGCTGTCTCTTGAGCCACATGCCACCCCCCCCCCCACCCTCAATGCCTTCCAGAGGAAAAAGCCCCGAGAGGCCAGGCGAGCCCCCAGCCTGCAGGCCTCACACGGCTAATGTGGATCAAAGTGAGAGCCCTCGGGTTTCTCTGCTGTAGACGTGTGCCGGATTATACGCCGGCCTGGCAAACTCACACCCCCCCCCCATCCCATTACATCCTTAAAAACTCCCCGGGTCTCTGCACACACTTTCTTTGCCTCTTACCAAAGCACTTCCCAGCTGCTGTGATTTGAATATGAGGGCCCCTCTGAAGAAAAGAGGGCATCTGGCACACGCCTTAGAGGCTGAGGAAACGTGTTAAACTGCTCCTGTCATGGAAATGTTCTGAAACAGGATTAAGCCCCTTTAAAAAAGCAAAGAGGTAAATGGACACGAGCACTTTAATAAGTTCAGACAAAAGGCAACGCTGCGAGACACCTGGATACCGTCGATGTTGTCACAATGGAGTGGAGAGACGCACAATGAGAGCTTTGCTTTTTAAATTGGATTTTGTGGGTGACGTTCAGCACTGAAAATTGTATTTCTTTATTTTGAAATTCCGAATGTGTGAGTGGTAATGTGTGTCATCGCTCTCTAAAGGATACTTTTATATTCATTAGACTACCTGCCCCCATCTCGGCACTACCGCTCATTAACACGCAGTTGCGACAGGAAAATGTCCACTTAGTAAATGGAAACGCTTCAATGAGAAAACCGGTAGGTAACAGTTAGTGTTCAGGGAGGTCCTTTCAACTGATTATGTTTTTAGATGAACAATTAAATGGGTTTCAAGTGAAGGAAATCTAAAATGAATTCTTTAAAAATGCATGGAATGTTTGATTCATAAAGAAACAAACAAACATTTGAATCCGAATTACACCGACAGACTTTTTCTTAACCTTTCGTAAGCCTCCATCTGTCGTGTGCTACAAATGGCTTGAAGTTACGTTTTATTACCACTCCCAGGGTTTACAATCAGTTCAGATTCTGCTGTTAATCATAAACTTACAGTTGCTGTGTGAGATTTTTCTCTCACCAAACCCAACCTGAGTTACACAGTAAACGTAACACACGATTAGATCATTACGTGGTGACAAATGACTCAAGGCAGAACTATGTGTCTTTGAACAAAGAGCTCATGCTTTCACTCTGGAGCAGTTCCACATTTTTGGCATTGTCAGGCGAATCTTTATTTTCCTCTTGTACACGCTTGCTTTACTCAGGTTTTGTATTAAGTGGAGAGTTTTAAGTTGTATCCAAATGTCTCTCGACATGCAGCACTTTACACAGCGGATTTATGTGCAGGCGCAAGCAGTGAGGTGTTGAAGAAATGACCACGACTCTGCATTAAGCGTCACACAAATGTCAATAACAATCCCCAATAACTTCCCTATAGCAGTGCTACATGTGATTCAATTAATGAAAAACAGATGCCTCCCACACAAGAGATTCCCACTACATATGTGCCTCCTCCCCGGGATCTCGGTGGACGTCCTCTCCCCACGGCCGAGGCGTCACCGAGGAATCAGCACGGCGAGAGTTCGGCGAGGTCAACAAGTGGGTGTGGAATGCAAGTGTTTCCCACGCGGCGTACCTCCACACACAAACCCTGAGAAAACACATGTCAGGCCCGTGCACAGCAAACTGCAAATCCACAAAGCCTACTCGGAAGTGACCAATAAACTACAAGCACCAAATGTGCAACATTCCTCTTAAATGTTGAGTAAAAGTAACACCACAGCGAGTAGAAAGCGGGTGTTTGAGACTGCGCACCCCGCTGAGGCCGAGCTGCGGATGGAACAGGATCTCCCCATGTGAACCGCGCCGTGTTTCCTCCGTACCTCACACGGCAGAGCGGCTCCACCACAACAATGTCAGAACACATCAGCTGCTGGAGCCTTGACGGCTTCCACGCTCGGGCTCTGCCCCGTGGCGCCCTGGAGAGATACAACAGGCCTGTTG